CTGCTGATCACAAGTGTATTTGTGGGCGGTACTTGTAAGAACGATATCAATTGGACACACCCGTGCAACACTTGTCTTTTTGGTGTGATTCATATGATACATAAAAACAAGCATTCATTATATACTTAGTCACTAGAGTTGATGAGGCGTCACAATTGCGAAGCTTGCCTGTCCTGCCATCCAGACGTTACACTGAAATCCCTGTCACCATGGTGATGTTTATGAATTCCGTCAGGGCAAGCATCCATTATAATTAGAGGGAGCGCAGTCCATGTATGTGTCACAATTGTAACACTAGATTTACATTAGCAATCTATGTTCCTTTGATGACGCCTTGACAAGTGAATTCTCATCCTTGCATATTTGGCAAGTTCTGCCATGCCTATCCTACAATGTAAGACTAAATAATGTGACATATCATTGTTGCACTTATTGCGTGGATTTTACTCAATATAATTCTTTATATACCAATACCATTTCGTCATTGAATGTCTGATGCGGGAGGCGGGAGGAGGTGGGAGGCCAGCGCTAGTTACCATAAATAGAAAACGCCGCATCAAAGAAGTTACAGCGCACGCAAAGGGAATGGCGCAGGTGATGGCAGGAGGAAGGAAACAATGCATCATGGTGCATCAGGAGGCGGGAGGCGGGAGGCTAGCGCTGGTTACTATAAATGGATAACAATGCCGCATCAAAGAAAATACAGCGCACGCAAAGGGGATGGCGCACGTGGTGGCGGGAGGAAGGAAACAATGCATCATGGTGCATCATACTATTTTAAAGGCCTGATGCATTATGTATAGCCTATTAATGCATTATGCATCATAATGCAACAACGCTAATGCATCATAATGCAATATTTACCTGCCTATAGATTGTAAGAGTATTGCATCAATTGATGCCTTACAACTGTACCAATTCTTGCATCAATATGACAGGGTCGCCTGTCCTGATCGCGCGGCCTGATCCCTTTTTAAGACAACGAACTTAAGCATTGAACGCCATCATGGCATGCAAGAGAGCTGAGCGTTGAATTTTTCGGACTCGAGAGCTAGACTAGAGGGCGGTTTAGCTCTGAAAGTAGAGCTAAGTCCATCCAAAATGGCTGCGTGTTTCAAGGGCTGATGGTGTTTCAAACTTCAAGCGTTTCAAACACAATATTTTCAAATCTATAGACCAGACATTGTTTGCTCCTTTTCACGATACTTTGGTCGAGTGAAATACCTCCAGAATGGCAAGGGCACAGAAGTGTGCATTGAAGTTCTATGTCCCGAAGGTGCTCATCCGACACTCTGCCTGACACCACTAGTCTCACTATGCCTAGAAATCGCTGTTACATTCTGGCGGCCGTAAAACAGCGATGACAGACTATGTCGGCATATATGTCATCCAGTGCCATCATAGCACGAATTACTAACACGAGCCACTGAAGTTTGAACCTAGTCCAGCTTTCGTCTCACAGGTGCTGTTATCAGAAGACCCTTGGATTTGGATAATGGTCACCCTCGTCGGTTCACAGCAGCGGAAGGCTTCGCGTATTTCGGTGAGTAAAACAGGTCTATATAGGGATAGGTGTCTTATATCAACGTTTCTGCTAGGCGCCAACTGTAACTTTGTCAAGTTGCGCCTTTATGTAAATCAAAAAGTGAAACGCACCATCATGATCATCAATGTAAGCCGAGTGGTGCCCAATATTTACACCCCATCCACATGACAAAGATTTGGCAAGTGTGTCTAATGCGCAATATGTCACACTGAGTTCCCAACTCATTCATAAGATATAAGAAGCTACATGATGTGCGCACGAAATCCGGGTTTTTTCCTCTCAGATAAATACAGATGGAATACTCGGCCAACGATCTCGCAGCAGCCAGGACTCTGCAGTACTTAGGAGTGCGTCGCTTTCTTATTATGAGGGCAAGATAATAATGTACTTAATATGCGTTGCCACCAGTATATATGCAGTACGTGCTGTCCGAACTGCTTCTTCCTCGTTCTAACTTGACAGCTCAGCGTCTACGGCGGTATTTTGGGTATGCTTGTCCCGATCTACGCATGTTCGCGATTTAACTCACTTGTCCAGACCTATGATTATGCCTGTTCACTTCAGGAAGAGGTAATGTACTTGTTCTGTGAAATGCCTTGGTTTTCATATTGATAATGTACTGTTCAAGTGTACATTTCTATTTCAGTCACGCTGGACCAAGATCAAAGGCCTTTATACCATCACACGATATCTCCCCTTTTGTCTCATCACCATGGATTTATGTCGTGCATTCAGCTCCAGCATACTACCCCGATAATGAATTGACATGTTATATTTTAGTGAAGTTCACACCGAACGAGAACTCCAATGTATGTGAACGTGCAGTGGACTTATCGATTGATGAATGACGCTTACTGTGCGACATCGTTAGACATGCCTGACATTGATAAACATCTACTCATGTACGTGCATGGTGCATACTCTATGTAAGTATGTCCTTGCTGAGCACTCTGCTCCTCATAGGTTTCGGCACGATGTCTCTCACCTGCTCTGAATGTACCTATCCTTCCTCTGAGACATGCACGCGCTTCTAATCTGATTCATCCAGGCATTTTTGTGATTAGAACATGTGCACTCTGGAACAACGATCGAATGGTACTCGTAGGCTTGCTGTCTACCCTTTTTGTGAGCTCTATGCCCTCACCACGCCCAAGCTCATGGTTGATGAATCAATCAGGCCACCTTCTTAGCATCCATGGCCACTAATTTAAGCTACACCTCCTATAGTTCGTGCCCTCACTTTCCCCCACCACCATTCACAGGTATTCACCCCTCTTACACAGTTACGACCAGCGCGATCCCAGGCATCACAGGCTGCTACGGGAGCTCGCGCAATGTCCAACACTTCATCCCGTTTCTTCTCTTGTTTGTGTTTCAACTGGGTATGTCGCCGGAAACTGGGAGCTAATATGACAGACATTCACTGACAAACATTCTCTCTAGGACTGGTCTCACTCACCCTCATACGAGTCATGCAGAACTGGCGGTTGGCCAAGGGCCCTCTGCACGTCGTCCTGGTGAAGCATAACATATACTACTACGCATGCGGTCTCTGTGAGTCAGAACTTACATATGTTTCCTTACTCATCAATAATGATCATTGTTCCGAAAGTTCTCTCAGCCGTGAACATCCTAGTGCCAACGCTGTCTTCGTATGTGCGTACATCTCCCAACACCCTTCGACATGAATGAGTAATCGATGTTCCGTACACACAGGCCGCATATGACTCCGTTTTCCAACGGTATGCACCTCTAACTTCTGCTGCGAATCCCTACCAACACCCCAATTACACACAGTTTAGAAATTGTTTTCCTCGCGATCCTCGCCACACGCATGCACCTCCATCTCTGGCATATGGACAAGCACACGGATGGCTCTGACATCCTCGTGCAGATTTCTCTGCCTGACATGTCACCTATAGACCATACGGTGTGACATCTCATCGCGTGGCTTACTTGATGTCGTTCATGCAGCTGTGACGGGGTGGGAGGTGCGTTTGGTTAGCATTTGTCTATGTAGCATCTACAAGTGTTCAGTTGATGCTGTGGGCTGCGGAGAATGAGTGGATATGATCAAAATTTGTGCATCGATGTGCCCAACAAAATCTAAGGTGGAATAGTATTATTGGCGGAAGGCTTGGACAATGCTCTCTGAATATTTGCGCGAACGATTATGACTGCGGCGAGAAATAAGTAGATTAGGGTTCAAAAATGTCAACCTGCATTTTCCACCCCTGTAATATTCAATGAGATGGTTGACTTTGTGAGCAGACAGACAGAATGAACTCACAGACCCAATCGGTGGTCTGGTGACGATAGCCATCTTCTCCTCGTCCAGTACGATATCCCAAAGGGAGCCACCACGGCAAACGAGGTCATGGATCACCTCCACGAAAGGGAGGTATGACGTCACCTGCACGTCCGACCCTATGGATGTCGTTGTAGGTTTGCTGAATACATTGTCGATGCTACGCGCCACGGCGGAGGGGTTGAAGTCGGTCATGTGTAAGTGGAACAATGAATCAGAATCATTTCCGTCTGCGACCTGAACTGCCCATATAACACGAGATCCTCCAATGCTAAACAAGCCCGATCCTTCTTCGCCAAACCTATCTCCAGGGAAGAGACGAGAGTTTTGAGGACCCCAAGATGACCATGGGACTGAGCGGCCGTCTTTTGATGTCACATCGAACCATGTCGGAGGAATATCCATGAAAAATATTCGAGCTGATATAATGAAAACCGACGAAGGATTGGTCCATGTCACCGATATGACACGATCTGCAGGGTTTTTTGTCCAAATCCAATGGTCATCTGGTGCCGCGAGGCCTGCACAACTTGTGGCACTATGGAAAATCGACGGATGATCGAAGCCGCCATAGAAACCATTGAATGTAATATCTATCATAGGGCTCCGCCCCAAAGGACAATAAACGACGATTCAAAAATAAAATAAAATAGAAACCATTGACGGGCAGCATAAATTTTGCTTGAAGCTGCGGTGCCTTTGATGCGTCCTCAATGTTGTAAAGATGTATCTGACCATCCTTCGAGAGAGCTATAAGCTTCTCCTTGGCAAGAAAACGGATGTCCGAAAAGGCATAGCCGTGGCCGATCGCACATAAGTCCTGTTAAATGCACAGATCAAACCGACAGTGAAAGACAGAAGAAGACACTCACGTCAGCTTGACCATATTGTTCAAGTTGCCAATTAAAGACGTGCAGCGACCAGTACTCCCGATAATTGATGTTCAAGTTTTGAACTCCAGAAACATAAACTGCGAGGCGACCTTCGAGGACATCGACGGCAACAGTGATTAACGTGGCATTTTTGCAAGCGGCTCTACCGTTCACTACGCGCGATCCATGGGACAAAGGATGTTCCTCCCCCGATATCGTACGGAACGATATTTGGTACTTAAAGCCATCTGTGTCCACATCAACTGGATATGTAATGATGACCTCTAGGTTTTGTAGTTGGACCATGTGCCTGTATGTGTGACGAACTGGATTTTCATCCATCCAAATTTGAGCAGGACGTGTTGAGTAGATCTTGCAAACCACAGCGTCGGACGCAGCATCGACATGGATGTATGACGTAAAGGAGAAAATGTTTCCATGGACAATCGAGTTGTGGTTGTACAAGGTGGTAAGACGAGATGAATCCAAGGCATTGAGCCTGAAGATATTCCACATGCTTGCCTTGTTTCTGAGGATACGCAAGCACTCCGGTAAAGAGACAGTAGGCGGTCGCGGATGTACCTCGATCAACCCTTGAGCACCAAGTTCGACGATGTACTGCAGCTCGGCAGAGCATTTGACCGTGTTGTACACTGTAAGGCAGGTCTGTAATGTGTAGTTCAGTACGTTAGTTCTACAACTCGAAGGACAGGGATGAATGAATGACTTGCCGAAGCGCATCGTATAATTTCATTACATGAAAGGAATTTGAGGATATGACAGCGCAACTCCTCTGGCATATCTTTGAAGGTAGTCCTTTCGGAGGGCATTTGTCCACGACAAATAGGACCTCCTATATCCGCGATCGAGGACAGAGGGGTATCAACGTCCGGCGGGTGATGTTCTGACACAGGTGAGGTTACTGAGGTAGGAGGAAGTGTAGGACGGTCCGATAACACAGGCCCCCTGCTTGGACGACTGTCACTATTGACGCGAGACTCAAATCGAGCATTAACAGGATGAGAAGGCTGTGGGCACCAAATTTTGACGACTCACCTTCGTTCTTTCACGCAGCCTTTCTGCACAACTCAACGATAAGTTAACAATAGTCTTGATGAAGTTACGGAGCAGGGTGAAATGATACATTGATGAAATGGGGATCTTAGCTGAGCTTACTATCGGCGTTGATCGTGATTGTGAGAATGGTTGAAAGGAATTGACAACATAACTGCCAACATTTCTACGGTGTACGCTTCACTGAGGGGCGAATCCCTAATTGGTTTGTGGCTGTGCCCCAAAGAGATGAGGTCATGTCGGACACGGAAGATACAGCAAACCAATGTGCACCTCGTCAGTCTGACCGGATAAAACACTTTGCTATGGCACACGTGTGCGAAGCCCGCTACAGTTCAATAATCTGTGCTGCGTACGCGAACTGTCATTTTGAACGAGAGTCTTTTCGACATTGACTCTACTACCGTAATCCCGCAAGGAAGGCATGCATTTTGCTACGTCACCCTCGACCTTCTTCTTTCCTCCAATCTCAGTGACATTGCAGAGGGTTATGGACTCCCCGTCGGGTTTGGAGATATATCCCACAGCACCCACGACAGGTGATGGATACCATAGGGGCGTCGAGACTAGAAACAAAGAGTATTAGCACACATGATCGCATTACGAAGGTGAACAAAAAGATGACGTACACAAACCTCCATGCCCATGGGTGACTTTGGCCAAAAGCCTGTAGCACCTCTCGTTATACACGGCCCGTGCCCACGCGTTCGTGGAGATCTAAGGAAGGAGACCATTGATGGTGTGCTGAATGCCCAAACTCAGATCCAAATCCAGATGACGTGCTGTAGTAATCAGACATCGATGAAGAGTGGCCGTCAGAAGTCGGTGTGCCAGGCGAGGGACGGTATCTCAAGCCAATGACCAGCGAGTTTGCGGGGCCACTTGGCTCGCAAGGGGCGGGTAAGCCGTCTGCCCCACAGGGATATAAGATATCGTGATAGCCTTGAAGTGAATACACCATGGTAAAAAATGGCAAACGCTGATCAGGGTCACTCGCCCAGCAGCAGGTGGGTACCTCTGGGCGAGCATCGTGTCCTAGAAACGCATAAGCAATTTTGAGAGTTGGACAAGACAGCTTGAACGTACCGAGCACAATCTTCTTTACGTCTTCATCGTCTAGGTGCCGTAAGGATTTCCGCCCATGTTGAGGATCTCCACGCAGCAGATGGCAAAAACGTAGATGTCAGCTTGCATTATCGGATCTGCGGCACCGCCCAACACTTCTCGCGCTTTCTGTGCGATCAAGTGGTCAGAAACAAGGCATCACTTCAGAAGCCAACATACTTGGTCTGTAAGCATCATCCTTGAGTTCGGCCTGACCGAAGCAACGGCACAATTTCCTTCCTCATTCACAAAAACATTCGCGCACTGCCCCATGACCACACATAAGCAGAGCGCTGAGACATAGTATGGTTCACGGACCTTCAAATCACCAGTTCATAAGCGCCGGTCAACCGTCTGCTTTAATTTTTGTTTACAAGAATGAAATGTCCCATATACATATGTTGGATATGGGTCCTAGGTGTGCGCCTGTACCTGACTGCACTTTGTCACATGAGCGGGGAGATGTCGCCCATTGCGATATTATATGATGAATTATCCGTACGAACGACACACTGAGGGAAATGAGGAACTACTACTGGGTTAGGCAGTTTGCAGTGGGTATACGTTGGTTGAAGACATGCGAGCGACCGAACGGGAAGTGGAGATGGCGACAAGAGCCCTCCAGAGGAAGAGTACAGACATCGCTCCCGATAGCAGACTCAAGCTTGAAGAATCAACGACGCGATTGGTTCAATGGTTGGGAAGGACTTCGAGAAATTGAGCTACAACTGGAAGTAAACCACGTGACCTGAAAACCGCTCGCTATCAACCATGACGACCAGCCCCCATTCATCATTCACCAACCCGCTTTTTGTGAGGACACTTCATTAAGTCTCGCAACATGGCTCGCTTGCATCAAGTTTCAATTTACTCTATAGCACAAGAAATTCTTCCGTCGTAGTGTCGCACTCCTCCTGAGCTCACTGGTTCCGCAATTTCTTTTCGCCGCGAACACATTCACTTAGTACTTCCTTGCCATCCAGCGTGGTACACTGACCCTCCGAACCCCTACCTAAACGGCAGATCTGTTTCACCGACCCTTTTAATGGGTTAGTAACAATACTGCTCCCATCCATCAAATCAATACCTCCACCGCATACACAAGACAGGCAATCTTCGCACTCTAGGAAGAGACGCCTCCGACCCCGACGCCATCATTTATCTAAACAGGTACATTAACACTACGAAATGACTCAAAGCAACTGGTGAGGCACCTCTGCCGATCAATCAAGTGCCCAAATTGATTTACGCCTGCAGCGAAGTATGAATGTGGTCCCTCGAACTTGCTCAACCACCATATATTCTATCCTTTTGATTCCTCTACTTTATCAGCTTATGTCTCGCCTACACGGCGTTCATCAGATTCATCAACAGATGGAGAGTGTGGTCCACCACGCCGACATACTGACTATTCTCTATACCACATCTGCCCCCTTATAGATTCCTGTATCGATCTGCTTCGTGTGGACGATGACGTGTTAGTATCCTTTAGTCTGCTATACATATCATACTCACGCCCGCGATCTTCTTCGAACATGCGTGCATGTAAAACAGCCGAATCCACTGTGTTAATCAAACCTAATTATACAGCCAGTGCAACCCATGGCCATGTGACCACGTCAACTTTAAGCTATTCTGAATGCTTCCCCTAATATTCACGCCTCTAAGAAGGTGGTTCATAATGCGTTCGAGAATCCCGTTTCTTTTCTTATCGGACATGGAGTATTCGTCGGACGATGTCGCAGCAGCCACGAGCCTGCAGCTATTAGCGGTGCGTCGCTTTTTTAGTACTACAACGTCCTCGAAGAGTATGCACCTCCAACTTCTCTTGCGAACTCTCACTAACAACATCCCCAAACACACTGCAGTTTTCAGGTCTTCATCCTTGTAATCCTCGCCACGCGCATGCACCTCCATCTCTGACATATCGACAGGGTTGTGCACAGCTCTGATACCCTCGTATACATTTCCGTGTCCGAGATGTCACCTGCCGACCGTACGGTGTGACGTCTTATGTTTGACTTATTCGCTGTCGTCGGTGAAATGAGGTTTGGGCTACGAGATGACTGGTCAGGGTGGCTTGGTCGGGTTTGGGATGCGCTTAACTTTCATAAATGCATTTTGTCAGGAAGAAGAATCTGACGCAAGGAGAGAAACCGATCTAATGGTATTATTGGCAGGAAGCTTAGACGATTCTCTCTAAATATTTGCGTACACTGATGACTGTAATGAGCTATAAACTACGTTGCAAAGAATTCGGCCTGCATATAAGTTTGATGTCCCGAGTTTCGTTGAAAGCGGCTCTACCACTCACTACACGGAATCCATACAACAAAGGATATTCCTCCCCCGTGGAGGTCGCCGGTAGGCTGGACCATGCATGCGTGGGTTGACAGCTAGTTCCGGCAGTGATGTACATGACATGACATTGCCCAGACGTAATTCTATCCAGAACACCAAATAGATACCGGGACGAAGGTCCTATATCCTCCAAATCACCTGTACTTAAATACCACAATGAAACATAATGAAACATATACATACTCCCTGCCCACTACTCGGGGTTGATCACTTGTGCTACACATCTCCGCCAGTCGACACATCCCCACCAGCCTGGAAAGCAATGGATGACATGCGTGTTCCCTCGTCGGACCTAGCCACGAGCTCAGCGTGATATTCACGAACGCTGAGGATCAGACGTGGTCCCAGCACACACATCTGGATCCCCACGATAACGTTGAGAATGCCGCTATACACAGTAACTCCCAAAGCAGATGAGTACTGTAGACATGATCAGGACTGGTCAGATGCAGATGCCAGTCAAAGGTCAGCGCACCGTGATATACGGAGACAGTGAACCAAGAGTAAAGCAAGCCATGACAACAAAGCTAGCACATGCGGAACTTCAGCGAAGCAAGATAACAAGATACAAATCACTGAACTTACGCTAGAAAGTACAACGTGTGACTTTGTATTAACACCGTGAAACAGTCCCCGATAGTCGATCCGCCCTGTGATTGTCGCAGTTCACGAATATGTTTGATAACAATCCAGACTGCAAGAAAAAATGCGAGGATCTCCCATATAGCTGTGGGTATGATCATGGCCTCAGTCAGAGCTAGCGCGGCTGTGTTAATGTCGTAAAAACAGATATGGTATCCATACATCACGGCTTCCCCTGATATTTATTTGTCCATGAGTGCCGTGTGCTCACAGCTTTCATCAATAATTGAAGCTTACCCCCTAAAAAACCCAGATTTTCAATTACTGTCATAACTCCGGTGGCGATCGTGAAAATTAGCAAGAGTACAGCGAGAAATATGAGCATCTTTTTGGATCGCCCATACATGGCATGTATCCGAATCATCATGATGACTTTGCATGATATTTCAGTCAAGTCAGTATCAGTACGGTATGGCAGGTGAGCTCACCGCCCAGCATGGCATTAATGACAACAGGCACCCATGTCACTATGAAATAAAAAATATCGCCTAAAAAAACCCAGTGTCAGATGTGCATTGATGGATTCAATGCTTCAAATGAACTTACATCTGCTGCAATTATGTCTAACCATAAAAGCTGTCACACTAGAAAAAAAGCCGAGCTTCGCCGGCAGCAACCTGGTTCTACAAGTTAATTGGTAGTTTCACTACATCGTTGCCAACTCGACATATGCAACGGTCAGCACGGGTCCCGGTTTTCGTAGAGTCCAGCAGCATAATAATATCGTATGCAGATTGTCAGACATGGCCGCCTGCGCTAGACGATCGTCGAGGACAGCGACCATAAGTTTGATGTCCCGAGTTTCGCTGAAGGTGGCTCTACCACTCACTACATGGGATCCATACAACAAAGGATGTTCCTCCCCCGTGGATATCGTACGGAAGGATATTATTAGTACTTGAGACCGCGTTGGACGCAGGATCGACATGGCGTAGTGGAGATAACATTTTGGTGGACAACCGAGTTGAAGTCGAGCAAGATCGTAAAGCAAAACACATCCGTTGTAATGGGCCTGAAGGTATTCCACGTATTTGCCTCTTGTCTGAGAATACGGAAGCAATCTGCAAAAGACAGTAAGCGATCGCGGATGTACCTCGATCAACATTTAAGCACCGAGTGTGATGATGTACTGGAGCTCAGTGGAGGATCTGATCGGGGGGTACAAGTCTATGACGGTGAGTTGGTCCCAAAACTAGAAGGGTAAGGATGAATAGATTACTCACCAATGCGCAGCATATGATTAAAAAAATTCGACTCTGGCATATCATCAAAGGTAGCCCTTGCGAATCGAGAGGGTGCTTTCTATGACAAACAAAACTTTCCATGTCCACGATCGAGGACGGATAGTTGTCATCATCTGACGGGCGACGTACTATCACAAGTGGGGTAGGAGGAGGTGTAGGAGCGACCGATAGCATGAATACTGTCACGGTAGAGAGCGCCATGAGCCTAAAGACAATGAGAATGTTGCAATCACTAAAAGCTTGACGACTCGCCTGTTGTTTATCATGCAGATTTTCTGCGCAACTCAACGATGAGTTGAAAACATCCTTGATGAATTTACGGAGCACGGTAAAGTGATAAATTGATAAAATTTGGATCTTGACAGCTGGGCTCATTGGTGTTTGAGTGACGGCGGTTGTGAAAATCGTTGAGAAGGATTGATTCGGGAGGCAATCGTGCACGGAAGATACAAAATCAGATGAGAAGTTCAAACATGACCACATCTCTTCGGGGCACAGCCACATCCAAATTAGGAAATCATCAATGTTATTCAAAACTATCATGAAGGAACGACTTGTGGAGGGAGCTCTGGATAATCAGTATTCCAGTGAGAGAGTGGGAGGCAAGTAGTGCGAAAACAGGCATCATTATAATATGCCAATATATGTCCGAATCAAAAACGTCTAAGAAATGCCGACAACGACACCTAAATGAACAGGAGCGTTCTGTCATTATGCAAGCAATCAAAGTCTAAAACTCAAGTCGCAGCTTCTTCTTCGTCGGCGGCTTGTTGTGCAACATGGGCAGTAGGATCACCCTTGTTCAGCCAGATACCTGGGTGAATGAAGTTGAGGGTGTAGATAGCGATAGTGACCATGGCACCGTCCAGCCAATCTATCGACAATAGAGTGTTAGAAACGGATTCCTAGCGAGAATGATGACGACATACCGAAGTAGCGCTCAGTCGTAATCACTGGCCCGAACCACCCACCGGCGAGCTCCACAGTACGGTAAATAGATCTAAAAACAAATTAAACACGTCTGCTGATAATAAGATGTGTTGAACGCTAACCGAATGAAGATGCAGAGGACGCATAATGCCATGCCACAGATCATAACTCGCAAGTTCTTGCTCACAGAATGTTGAGCTTTCTCCGAAATGCGGGACTCGTCAGCGTAGCGGAAGGGTGCATTGTATTTCAAACGCAAGAAAAACTCGGCCGCCAAAGCGACGTAGACCACTATGGCAACTAAAGAGGAGGAAAAGAACGTCAGTAAGAGAAGTGAGAGACACTCAATTACGCACAAAGCTGGGCAGCGATTCCTCCTAGCATAATATTCGCGCCCTATCTCCATGAAGTGAATGATACACCATATAACGGGTAATGTGCATACCATCGTAGCACTTGACTCCTGACTAACGGCGCGCGCAGCGGATGCGCCTCCAACAGCTTGTACGATCAAGCAAACGACATCCTAAGAGTCGGGAAGATAAGAAACATGCACACTAACTGAATGTATGGTACTAACGAATGAGCAGAACAGGATGGTATCTACGCTAAAATCAGTAACTCAAAGCTAGTGCATAAGAGAACCACTCACAAATTTTGGGGGTTAGACGGCTGAACTGAGGTCCGACTTGATGTATTATCTTGCCAAGGATGATAAAGTTGGCCGCGACTAGCGGGGTAGGTGCTATGATAGTGCCGACGAGCCTGCATTAAAAACGCTTGAGTGGATATGCGAATGACTCTTGTTGGATGAACACTCACTGCATCTCATAAGGCGTCAAAAGCCTGGGGCTCCGGCTCGACCATAACCTAGCACTCCATCCGAGTATTTCCAGGACACCCGCAAAGGTCGCTGTGGGAAGCATCCACCATAGTTTATACTTGAGTGCCTGGCCCAAGTGAAGGACTGAAGATGTCAATCATGATCATGCGCCGTCAACAGTCAAAATCATACCAGTTGAAATGCTATACAGCACCAAGAACTAAGGGAAAATGTGAAATGGACGTGTGACGCTCAAACAACGTAACTTACAAGGATACAGATCCATTCCGTAGGTATATAATTGTACGGGCCAACGCCAACTTGTTCTGTTTACCACACGCTTCTTCATCTAGGTCACGAAAACAGATGAGTAGCACTCACGAGTCGTTCCAGTAGCGAACACAGAGGCGAGAGTCATTGTGACAGAATAATTCGCCTGCAGTGAGTACTTGGGTATTGAACGTGAACGAGTGAAGGTCGAATTATTAGTGGGAGTGGTTTATACACGCAAAGCAAGCATTTCTAGTTGACCTGTGCCGCGGCAGCCTAGCTCGTTCCTCGGATCCGGCAGCGTCGGTAATGAAACGGACGTGACCGAGGCCGCTTCGCTTCTGATAAGCTAGAATGTTTCGGGTATCCCCATAATTGCTATGCGCAGCTTGATCATCTTTTCCGGGGAGCTCATGGCAGTGTTCCTTGACCAATACTCCTTGTTAGGCAAGCCAAAGGAGGCCTAAGGCCCTGGTTTTAGTAAGTTAATTGTTGCCGCCTCAATCCTGCGATAATATTCTTACCTGCGATGATACCCAGTGATAACCAAGAAGTGCGCGATACCAACTTGAAGGATCCGAAGTCCGGTGTCGTTGCGTACTGGGCAGAACAGGACGAGAGTAGTACCGCAGCGTACGGACGACGCAACGCGGTCGATCGATCTCCGATGCTTAATTTGGAAATTGGAAAATTTTAAAAGTTCCCCACACACAGGCACTGCACAACTCGTCGTGTCAAGTCGTCGACTATGCTGCTCGAACAAAACACCGAGCTAGGACTCTATCGTAGCGGCGCCTGTACAGTCCCCGGCTCCGATCCTGACTAGCTTGCTTTAAGTTATATCACTACGGAAGGCTACGTACTGAAGCTCGATAGTCCTAGCGTGGGCTCAATTGTCCACACAGTTCTAGCTATATGAAGAGTGCGTGCATGCACAACATAATTTATATTTCGTTTACTGAGTCGATTGATATACACCCGGACTAGTTCTTGTGGCGAGAAGGTTGAAGCCATTGAGCAAACTCACCATGCGATGTGGCGGCCATCAGGGAAGGGCACCACACAAGAAACAACACCCGAACTCGGTGGATTGCGAAGTGGTGTGCAATTTCGACCGAGAAACCGGACATCCCAAACATCAACTGTTCCATTTCGACGCCCATCGTGAATATGCGACCCGTCCGTGGACCAACAAGCCTGGGAGTGAGTATATGCAAATATGTACAGAAACACACCTCTATCGACTGTATTGTTTTATTCACACCCATCAGTGTATAGGAAAACCCTCTCCCGCTAACGTGGCTGTCGGGGATGATGCTACTTTGTCAAGGAACTATGGTTTCTGTGCAATGTAAGTCTCTCAAATGTGGGACCTCAGGTTCGACTACCAATTGGGGACTAGGCGGCATACAGGGAAATTTCACATCATCGTCCATCCAATTACCTCGGTGACATCAATATGCAACAAAGGCACAAACTTTGGTCCAGGAAGGAGGGAAGCGAGAATGGAAACGACAACGCACCTCGACACGAGACTCTGCCTGTGTACTGTCGAACCACGATTTTTCCACGACTCTGCAGAAAATCACATCAGCAATCGCACAAATATAGCTCTACCATCAATCTGTTTAAAGGCTCTGAGGGTAGCTTTTATCGTTGAAGGTGCTTCCTTGACGTAAGAATTCCCTCACGAGTAACCAATCTTGCGAACTGAGCCCACCCAAGCCCCGTACGTCACCACATTTGAAAACCGAGTTCCATCACAAATCGATGTTCAAACATTCCTCCTTGACATCATTCTACAACGCTTGCTGTGATAAATGGAGATTGTGATTCAAGACACGGCCACTGTCCAGCCTGATCACTATAAAAGCGCTGGATGGCGGTATGACTGCACGAACACCACACGTCCCATCCCGATATGACCTTCATCGTCTCAAATGATCCCGCTTGGTGGCCAGTCATGAGCACCGCTCGCATGGCTAACTATTTTTTAGGTTCGTAGAGAGCAAGTGGGATAACGATGTTGATGATTCACTATTTTTGACTATGTTTTCACAGTTGCATCCGCTGTTATATTGGGATACGATTGGGGTGAGCGAGATAATAATTTCTGAGGGGATCGTTGATATGTATTCGGTATTCAAAGCATTAACATTCGCACAAGAGGTAGGTTGATATCATGACCTCTAACAGTACGAACTGATCTGGGTGAGCAAAATCCTGCATCAGAAGCAAACAGGATAATGCGGTTGAATTGGGCAGACGCAACGCTGGTCCTTCATGACCGTTCTTTATCTTTGTGTACGTTATATTGTGAGCGCAGTTGACATCTTGTGCTGACTTCAACATATCCTAGGTCCGCTACATTGGAATATTCTATTCTTTGTATGTTTGCAAGGCTCGCAAGTTGACACTACACCGCACTACAGTACTAATCAACCATATCTCACAATCAGCAGCTACCAACTATGTACGTATCCCTAAATACACTGCGTTCGTTTATTCTGACTGGCAGCATGCAGTGGATCTCTCAGTCCCGATGACAGACTTAGTGGGTATTCGGCACCGATGCCTGGCATTCCCATTCCCATTCAAATACTAACTGCCCTACACAGGGGTAAGTGACAATCTCGGACAGCTTTATGGTTCAACACGACTGCAACAGCTGTAAGTTTATTTGAAGCATCGAGCCCATTGATGCGCATCTGACACTGGATTTTTCAGGCAATATCTTTCATTTCATATTGAAATGCACACCTATCGTCATCAACGCCATGCTGGGCGGTGAGCTCACCTGCCGTACCGTACCGTATTGATACTGACTTGACTGATATATCATGCAAGTAATCATGATGACCCGGATACACGCCATGTATGGGCGATCCAAGAAGATGCTCATCTTTCTCGCTGTACTCTTGCTGGTATCCACGATTGCCACCGGGGTTATGACGATAATCGGAAACTTGGGTTTTTCAGGGGGTAAGTTTCAATTATTGATGAAAGCCTTGAGCACACGAGACTCATGGACAAATACCAGGGGAGGCCGTGCTCTCTGGTTACTATAATTGTGGTTATGATCTTGATCCAAACGCGGTAGATCTGAATCAGGACATAATCATACCCACCGCTATATGGGAGATTCTCGCCTTTCTTCTTGCAGTCTGGATTGTTATAAAACACCTCCGTGAATTGCGACAATCACAGAGTGGATCGATCATTGGGGACTGCTTCACGGTGTTAATGCGAAGTCACGCGTTGTACTTTCTAGCGTGAGCTCAGTGATTTGGATGTTGCTATCTTGTTTCGTTGAAGTTCCACATGTGCTAGCTTTGCTGTCGTGGCTTGCTTCAATCTTAGTTCACTGTCTCCAAATCTCGTGGTGCGCTGACCTGTGACTGGCATCTGCATCTGACCAGCCCTGATCATCTCTACAGTACTCAACTGCTTTGGGAGCTGCTGTTTATGACGGCATTTCCGACATTGCACAGGGGTTCCAGATGTTTGTGCTGGGACCACGTCTGATCCTCGGCGTTCGTGAATATAACGCCAAGCTCGTGGCCAGGTCCGACGGGGGAACACACATGACGTCCATTGCTTTCCAGGCTGGTGGAGATGCATTGATTAGCGAAGATGTGTAGCACTGGAAAACACCCAGGTGATCAACCCCAGGTACTAGGCAGGGAGTATGTATATATTTGATTTGCGTTTCGTTTTGGTATTTAAGGATAGGTGATTTAGAGGATATAGTAGGAAATTCGTCCCAGTATTCATTTGGTGTTCTGGAAGATAAAATTACGTCTGGGCAATGTTATGCTACATCACTACTGGAACCGTATGTCAACCTATGCGTGCACGGAGCTTACCGACGTCTCGCAATCATTGAATGAATGATGGTTAATTGCGAACTTGTGTTTGCTACCTTCTGCTTTTCTACCGACATACAATGAATTAAATGTGTGGGCTTCGTGAGGCGTGAGTTGTGACCGTAAACGGATGCTGGTTGGGAAACGCCGGGATAGTATCAGCGTCGTCTGAAGTAATAAGAACACTAAAAACACACCTCGACAGGAATACTCTTCCCCGTGTTTTTCAGCCTCAGCCCTTGGACGCGCCCAGCCTCTTCACTTCTGCATGTTCGCCGAGTGTGGCTAGGCACACTGCTTAGCCATATGTATGTGTCGCTTTCGACCACTGGATGTACTGGGTTCCATGAGGTGAAGCGGAGGTACACCGACACAAAACAAGGCACACGAGACGAAGAGGTACACCAAGATGACAGTCAGAGATCGATACACGGAAGTAAAAAAAGAGGAATATGAAGACGAAAGAGGGAAAGATAAACTCACTGTAGCCTCGCCCCCAAGTTTCCCCCACAACGATCTACTTTCTGCGACGCTGCAGAACACCAACATCAGTATCGTGCATATATTCAGATCTACACCTGCCCTGTATCACCCTGCACCCCTCCCTCCCCGTAGAACATTACAAGAACCCAAACACCAAACCCAGCAACCAGTGAAACACACACAGAACAGAAACCCACCTCCAAAGCCCCAAACAGGCCAACCGCACTCTCCCATCACGAAGATTGGCGTAAATTCCTGTACTGCGTCTGAGTTTGTGCAGCGCGTGCGTAGTAGGCGAGGGTTTTTGAGGATTGGAAACGGATGAGGGCGAGACGGCCTGCGCTGAACAGGAAGAAGACGCCTGTTTTTGGTATTGGTGGAGGAAGCGAGTGAAGCAGCGAAATAACACAAAAGACACACGCACCATTTAGATACCTCCTCAAATTCTACTCCAACACTCTCACAACCTTACGCACATCGACGCCTTCAAACATAAATGCAGAGAGACCAAGGTGGAAGATGCATCGATGAGTAGTGACATATTACAGATCGCACGTCAGACACCTTCTGTGTCTGTTAAATCCATGTTAACAATGTAGACTTTGCACAGGCATTATGAGCTCTATTTGAAAAACGAATGCCGGTAGAAGAACGATAATACAAAATACGACTGCTCACCCCTCTCGACCACCCACCCATTTGTACCCCACTACCCCAGCCCACTCCAACAACTCTTCCCCAAACTTCCTATCACCCTTATACCCCCAAAGCTTCACCAGCGCAAGGATTTTTCCAGGCATCCATGAGGTGGGACATGGTGAGGCCTAGATATACGTCGAAGTGGAAAGGGATGGTGCATGGATGGTGGGATGATGGGGGCGGGAACGTGAGTTCATGTGTACATGCGAGTCTGGGGAAAGGAGAAGGGGGGGGGGGGATGTGGCGGAGCTTGCAAAGTTTGCAGTGCTTCAAGTTGACTGTGGCTGCGTTTCTTTGATATCTGCGCCCCCTCATGATGTGGAATTGGAATTGGGATAGCAACTAGCAGCGCTAGCTCTGGATGTGCAATATGAACTGGCAGCGACCGAGGCTGCTTCGGATCAGTGAGAATGCATTAGCTATAGGGAGCATAGTCTCCTCCAATTGCGGTGCGCAGCTTGATCATCTTATCTGGGGAGCTGCTCCAGTTCTTCTATAACCAACGCTCCTTGTTGGGTAAAACCATAAGCCTGAGGCACTGAATAGCTCGAAATCTTTTGTACGTATCCTGCAATAATATTATGACCTGCTATGATACCCTGGGAAGACCAAGAGATGTACAATACCAAGGATCTGAAGTCCAGATACTGATACTATCTCTGGCCCGGTGTTGCAAAACTTTTGACCCGTTTTTTATAACACAACAACTACACAACATTAAAATAAGGCAAAAACACGAGCAGGTAGGATTCAGTACATACTGTAAGGCTATGCAAAAAAAATAGAGAAATATGTCAAGGCTACGTTGCCAGAGAGAAGCCGGTGCGAAACAGTGTTTGAGCACAGAGTTGCAAAAATTCTCACCCGCAAAGAAGTCGTCGCGTCACACCATGTCACACCGCCGCTTTTACTCTCCGATGCCGTTAAGCACAATTTAGCGAAAATGGGTCCCGAATTGTGCAAGTATTGGCCGAGTTGCCGAGCAGCGATTTATGACTCCGAACACAATCTCACACCTCCTGTCACGTCTTGCATCTCAATGGTACAACATTTGTGTCTCTCAACACCACTCAATTATCATGTCGGAAAAAATTATAGTGACACTAGAAGGCAATGGGAAACCACTAGTAAAATTCCTGAATTTTTTTAGCGCATGTGGTAGCTTCCCCGGGATGGATTGGCGTGGAAAGTGCACATTCTGAGCAGTGTTTCGCTGCCGCAAGCACTTCTCGTCCATTTTTTGTAGAATAAAAAATACAAACAGTAAGCTATGGATCATTCATCCTCTAGAATCATTGTGCTAAGGAAATGAGTGAAATATGAGTGTGCTAGCATCGCGATTTGCAACTCCGGGCCATTTTGCAACACCGGGCCAGAGATAGTATGTTGAATCGTCCTGGGCGGAGCACTCAGCGGAACACGCATGCGCATTTAATTTGCATTTGATCAAACGCCATGTCAATTAGAGCGCCCGGCGCCGAGGCTGGATTTGGCAATTCTTTTTTTCGAATCTCTTTCATGATGCTCTCAACTTCTCAAGTGAACCTCGTCCGCCTAATTACCTCAGAGAGTCACCAATAGGCAACTAAGGAACATCTAGGACCGAAAGAGGCGACAACAGAAACAAAACCACCGAATCATGAGTTTTCCGCGACTGCAGAAAATCAGCATCAGCAATCACGCGAATACCCAGCTCCACCGTGATCAATCTATTCGGAAGCTCTGCGCATCTGCCACGCATAGCCTCGACGGAAGCATTCCCCAAGTAACCTTGATACTTAGCCCACCCAGTACATAACCACCGCGGCAGGTCACCACATTATGATCAGATGATGTCTTGGAAAGATCATGGCCACGCCGAGGTAGATATTAACTCAGGGTGTTCCTACCAGTCTGTCTCTCCATCGTCTGATGTTGCAAAGGTCACTCCAACCCTTACACATCCACCGTTATGATGGTCCGTTCTCTGTCACTATACGGCTCAGATATGATGAAGTCCTGCAGTTGGTCTATGGCTAATGTTCCTGGTTACTGATGGAACCGATGCAGAATCCCCCAAAGAGCAAATTTCATCACGAACAGATTTTTTCGGTGTTCAAATATTCCGCGGATTGCAGACGTAAGTTACATCGAACTTGAGTTCTTCGAACGACGGCTTCTCACTACTATTCCTTTTCTACTTTCTGTGATCAATGAAGATTGTGATTCGAGACACTGCCACTGCCCAGCCTGATCACTATAAAAAGCGCTGGATGATGGTAGGTCTGCACGAACTCCATACGCCCCATCCTGATATGGCATTCATCGTCTCAAATGATCCTGCTTGGTGGCCATTCCTCAGTGGTATTCATTTTGGTAGCTATTTTCCAGGTTCGTATAGAGCAGGAGGCATGACGATGTTGACGTCTCACTATCATTGACTATGGTTTCACAGTTGCATCTTTCGCTGTGGTGGCGTACGATTGGGGTGAGCGAGATATTACTTTATGAGGGGATCAGTGATATATAAGTATACGGTACTTGAGCATTAACATTCGCACAGGAGGTAAGTCAATGTCATGACCTGCGTAGCAATCTCACATCTCACTAAGAATGCTCTAACAGTTCGAACTCATCTGGGTGAGCAGAGTCCCATATCAGAAGCAAACAGGACAATGCGGCTGACTCGGGGCAGAGGCGACGCTGGTCCTTCATGACCGTTCTTTATATTTGTGTACGTTATCGTTATTTCATGAGCACAATTGCCACTGACTTCAACATGTGCTAGATCCGCTACATTGGAATACTGTTTTCTCTGTATGTTAGCAAGGCTAACACGTTGACACCGCACCGCACTGATAAACTATATTAATCAGCGCCTACGTACTATGTATGTATCCCCAAATACACTATTCGTTGATTCTGACTGGCAGTATGTAGTCAGCACCCCAGTCCCGATGACAGATATAGTGGGTATTCGGCACCAACGCCTGACATTCCCATTCCCATTCAACCACTAACTGCATTTCTACACAGGGGTGAGTGACAATCTCTGTCAGCCTGATGGTTCAACATGACCGCAACAGCTGTAAGTTCATTCAAAGCATTAAGTCCATCACTGCCTGACACTGGGTTTTTCAGGCAACATCAGTTATTTCATATGGATATTCGCGCCTGTTGTCGCTAATGCCATCCTGGGCGGTGAGCTCACTTGCCGCACCTTACTGATACTGACTTGACTGAAATATCACTCAAGCCATCATGATGACTCGGATACACGCCATGTATGGGCGATCCAGCAAGATGCTTATCTTTCTTGCTGCACTCTTGCTGGTTTCCACAATTTCCGCTGGAGTTGTGGCGATAATTGGAAACCTGGGTTATTCAGGGGGTAAGCTTTCGTTATTGATGACAGACTTGAGTACACGGGACTCATGGAAAAATACCAGGGGAGGCCGTATTGTCTGGTTACCATGCCTGTCTTTACAGTCTTGACGCCAATGGATTAGATCTGAGTTATTTCATGATCATACCCACCGCAATATGGGAGATCCTCGCCTTTTTTCTTGCAGTCCGGATTGCTATAAAACGCCTCCGTGAACTGCGACAATCGCAGAGTGGATCTACCATTGGAGACTATTTCACGGTGCTAATGCAAAGTCATATGTTGTACTTTCTAGCGTGAGCTCGGTGATTTGTATGTTGTTATCTTGTTTCGCTGAAGCTCCGCATATGCTAGCTTTGTTGTCGCGGCTTGTTTTTATCTTGGAAAACTGTCTCCAAATATCACGGTGCGTTGACCTGCGACTGGCATCTCCATCTGACCACTCCTCATTACGTCTACAGTACTCAACTGATTTCGGAGGTGATGTGTATCATGGCATTATCGGGATTGCCCAGGAGTTCCAGATGTGTATACTGGGACCACGTCTGATCCTCAGCGTTCGTGAATATAACGCCAAGCCCGTAGCCAGCTCCGACCCGGGAACACACATGACGTCGATTGCTTTCCAGGCTGGTGGAGGTGTGTCGACTGACGGAGTAGCATTGGAAACCATCTAAGTGATCAACCCCGGATAGTGGGCAGGGGACATGTATATATTTGATTTGAGTTTTGTAGTGGTGTTTAAGGATAGGTGATTTGAAGGATATATGTAGGAACTTCGTCCTCGTATTTATTTTGTGTTCTGGAGGATAAAATTATGTCTGGGCAATGTCATGTTACAACTGGCGGAGATGTGTAACACTGTAAGCCATCCAAGTAATCAACCCCGGGTACTGAGCACGGAGTGTGTATATATTTGATTTGAGTTTCGTGGTGGTATTTAAGGATAGGTGATTTGGGGGATATGTGTAGGAGCTTCGTCCCCGTATTCATTTCGTGTTCTGGAGGATAAAATTATGTCTGGGCAATGTCATGTTACAATATTACTACTGGAACTACTTACCTACCCATGCATGCACGGAGCCTACCGACGTCTTGCAATGATTCAACGAATATGGGCTTGTGTTTCTGCTTCTCTGACATATGATGGATTCAATGTGTGGGCTTCGCGAGGCGCGAGTTGTGACCGTAGATTGATACTGGCTGGGAAGCATTGGGATAGTATCAGCATCGTCCGAAGTCATCAGAACACGAAAAACTCACCTCGACAAGAATATATATTCACAGCACAAACGCGAGAAATACGGTGCTAGGATATTTTCTCACATTTTCAGATTTCCTCACATTTTGGTGACATGTTAACGACTTCAAAATACCAGCCTGAATATTCTTAGATACTTTTGAAATAAACCATCATTTCACGCTGGTAAATAATCACGTTGTAAAACACATGACGTCGGGACGCCGACACGCGCACAAATTTGTCTAAGTCCCGCGCTGTACTTTTCGAGCACGTCCCAGTCGTCCTCGAGTATAACTGACCATGTCGACAGGACTTCGCTTCAAGTGCAACTGTGCACGCTGCTCGCAGCATCCTGACGGATTCACGTACCAGACACAGCAGGTTGTTGCGAAACATACCAAGAAGTGGCCCCCTGTCGCGCAACCATTGGCAATCCGGGATCCTACAACCAATTTGTCCAGGCCATCTGAGGGTACCGGCATCAACCAAGAGAGACCGCAGGGCCGATTGCCAACGGTCGAAGAAAATGAGTATGACTTTAACTTTATAGATGACAACATACCTGGGCCTGCAGGCGAGCCGTACGATCATCCAGATGATCCAGTTCCTATCCCGCGTCCAAGAAGACACCAAATACCTGGCAACCAGCTGCTTCAAGACTTCAATTTCCGTCCAGTGGCATGGCCTGATGTGCGAGTGCCCGGCAGTGATCAAGATCAGGAGGATCGGCCGTCCCTTGTTCCACGAGCCTTCCAAGAACGTCCGGGTGTCCGCCTTGCCTATCTCAACACAGTCATTGGTAATGTCTTCGGAAAGCAGAGCATACAAGCTGCAACGGACGCTCTCAACAATCAGCTAAATTGTATGCTACTCGAAGGTGTACTACCCGAGCATCCGCGTCCCGTCCGCCATCTCCTCAGCGCGAAGCGTCGACTTGGCATTGATGCTGACCAGTGGATCACCCAATACGCGATATGCCCCGAGTGCTGGAAGCACTTTACTCCTGCTCAGGTCAAGGAGCTTCCATCTCCCGAGTGTACTGTGCCAGACTGCGAAGGAGTACTATACGACGAACGTACTGACGCGAAAGGCAAGCGTGTCCGAACCTCCAAAAAGATCATGCCGCATGTATCTCTCATCGGAAGCCTTCGCCGAATGTTCATGCGACCTGGTTTCGCAAAATCAGTTCGAGACAGCCGACAAGATCGTCCAGGACAAAACGAAGACGAAGACTATGTCATGACTGATATGCACGACGGCATGTTATGGCATGAACTCGAGACAAATACTGTCCGCGAGATAGGTGAATTAGGTACCGTCCGCGACCGCCCTCAAGATAACCAACCAGCAACAACGAAGCTTACCGAACATCGATATGGCCTGCATTTGACCTTGAATATTGACTGGTAAGTTTAAACATTGTACTTGCACTCGCTGAACACTTAATTTGACATAATCGTGATGTAGGATGGGAATACTCGAAAATCGGCCCCACTCTAGCGGCCCTATCTACTACGCTATCAACGACCTCCCACGAGATCAACGATTCTTACAAGTCAACGTCATATGCGCAGCAATTATGCCGGGTCCAAAAGAGCCAAACATAGTTCAAATCAACCATTGTTTGGAGCCGTCTACTCGGGAGCTGATGGAACTCAAGAATGGTGCGAAGTATTAAATGCTAATTGTATGCTCACTGTTTGAACTTATCTAGGGGTCAAAATGGATGTTTACGGAGAAGAAGAACTTGCAGATGTATTCGCAGATAATGAAGCCCTCGCTTGCGATATGCCTGCCTCGCATAAATGTAATGGAACAGCTGGACACAGCCACGACTTCCATCCATGTGCGTTTTGCGACATCGACATCGTCAAAATCAATACTCCCGAAGGCTACAACAATTGTAAGTGAACTTTCACACACACGATCCCCATTGACTTGGTGCGTAGCGTGGACCGCCAAAGATGATCATCACATGCTTCGTCAGAGCTTCTACTCTAAGGATGCTACTCCCACTCGCCAAGAAGCGATCTTACGAGACCACGGAGTTAGATTTAGCATTCTCAATGTCATTCCAGGCTGGTTACCATCGAGAAAGTCAGCTCTTGACTTTATGCACTGTATCTTCCTTGGTACGTGTCTATTTCTTCATTCTGACATGCTTACATCTCAATTGATCAAGGAATCATTTCGCACCTATTTATGCGCGTGTTGTTTGGTGGATATATGCTCTCGGGCATGGGTGGTGTCAATTCTCCGAAGCGACGCTTTGAAGACATAATTAATGCTGTAAGATGGCCTAGCCACGTCACTCGACTGCCGAAAAACGCAAGTGTTTGCCTTGATAACCGACTTAGTACTTATCTTTGTCCAACATCAGCTGGGTGAAAACCAATCCCTCAAGAAGGCTGATGAGTGGCGTCGTCTTCTAACGATCACCCCGGTCATTCTGTGGTGGTCTTGGAGGGACGCTAATGACGAAATACCGGACACCGAGCCTCCTCTTCCACCCAATACTGTAGCCCCGGATTTCTCCCGTAACCGCCGCTCGCTGTATAAGGCCATTCTATTCCTGTGCACTGGTGTCCGAATTCTCGCATCCCGCACGATCTCTATGGCCCAGGCTCGCACTGGTCAGAGCTTTCTAGCCCATTACTGCTTGGAATGTCTGCAGCTTCGCATCCCACTCACCATCAACCATCAAGCTTCGATGCATACAGCTGATATGATAAAGAAGTTTGGTCCTGTATACGCCTGGTGGCTCTTTGCATTCGAGCGGTTCAATGGGATGCTGGAACGTGTTCACCATAACGGTCATGATGGAGGACGGATCGAGTTGACCCTCTTACGGAACTGGGTCCAAACTCATCTCATTTACGAGTATCTTCTTGCTCTTCCCGCTGACACTCATTCTTTCGAACGGGACCAAATTAACCGCATCATCAAGGTACAAGCTCAAGACCGTGGAAGTATGATGACGCAGATAGCAGTTTATCAGAGCGAAGCTGCCGAAGGTATGTGTTTATTTTTCGCACCAATCTATCAACTGATGCTCGTTTTCCATCAGACAATGTTAGGTTACCACTCCGTACTGCAAAATTGATCAATCTCCGTACATACGGCTCGCCTCAAGGAATATTCTACCCCATTCTTCTCCAGTACTGTCGTTCTCTATGGCCCGACCTTCACCTGGTTGGTGATTTATCGTGCGACGATGGCATCCCCTTCTATGCGAACAAGGTAGCTCGTGCACTCACATACATTCGCAAAGACGGCATTCGTTACGGCTGCACCATGAATCGGCGCACGCACGCTGACTCATTTGCGTTCATATCGCAAGGTAGAACGCGTGTCCCTGCGCAAATCACGGCATTATTCGTGGTTGGTGTTCTTGATGTCGTCCCTCATGTTTGTGCGGTGGTGCGGAGATTAGTTTCTGATGATAACATTCCTGCAATGCCATGGGACCTCAAGTAAAGTATTTCTGTTAGCAGATACCAACACTCATCTCTTTTCAGCGCATCTACACTTGGTATTCATGTCTCCTACACTGAACTGGGCCCTCAGGAAGTGATTCCGGTCTCATGGATCGAGTGCCCACTGGCACTGATTCCAGTGTACTCAAACATCATCAAAAAGGATCTATGGATTACCATCTCGTTTGACCATGTAAGTGTACAAATAACTCTCGTGTAACAGTCTCAAAAAAGTTTACAGGCCGGGAACGAACCTGAAGACTATTTAGAAGATGAAGATGGAGATTAGATGAGGTGCGCACCTTTCTAGTCACTGAATTCATCATCTGACTCTGCAGCAGGAGGCAGTTCACGAGCTTTGCTAGTACTCGCTACTGGCTGTGCTGGAGCGGGCATACTCTCTCGTCCCTTCCCTTTGTCGCTCATCACCTTTGATTTTCCTTTACCTTTTTTTGTCCCAGTTTCCTTCTTCTTCGCCTCCATCTCCTCAATTTTCACACGCTTCTTCGACGCAATCAGTCTCTTCTGTTCCTTGACTCGCTTCTGGCCCGCCATCATCTCCTCAGGATCCTTCGGATCTCCCCATGCGCGCCCATTATCCAGGATATAACTAGGTGAGTCGTACTTCTTGTTTTCTTCTTGTGCGAGCCACTCTGCTGATATCATCCATCGGCGCGCTCGATTTTCGATTTTCTTGGCGGCCAAGATAGGAAGCTCTTTCGGATCGCCTTTAACACGAACGGTGAAGCGAGGAGGTGGGTTTGGGTCTATCGCTTCATCCACTGCAGCCAAGAATTTCACCATCTTGAATTTGTTTGGGCGTGAGTGTCAATTTTGCTGGGTGTTATTGGACTTACAATATCACTCCGATATGTTCCAGCATGGGAAACGAAACGTCCGGTCTTCTGTCCCTGCGCATCGACCTCGTCTTCATCTTGGGACATCAACGATTCCGTAAGTGCTGTGCGATACTTCTCATCTCCAAACTCTGACCCTTCGGGCAGGTTCTCAAATTTTCGGATACGAACTTCAAGTTTCTATAGTATACAGGTCAGTTATGATATTTATAATATCAATATGATGACTCACGCCTCTTGCACGACTCTGTAATTTAGACCGTGAAGGTTTTGCGACTGTTACGGCCGACTCAGACACGGGAGCGTTGTTGACTGTACCTGCCATTGCAGTCGTGTTCACACCGGTATGGCTGCGCTTTTTTTTCTGTAATTCTTGATATTTCTTGACGACGCGTTCATGCAGATCCTCTTCACTTATGTCACGGAGAGCGGGACCGCTGCCAGCGCAAACGGTAGCACCATGCTGACGAATGTAAGCAATGACCCGCAGGATATTGGCGTGATTGTCAGAATGCTGATGAGATTCTGTCCAGCGGAACCGCATCAAACGATCGTGGGTGGCAGGATCAATCGGCCAGTTGTCGTCGTCACTCGGGTATGGAGGAAGAACATCAGCAGTGAGCTTGGCGATTCCCATCAGCATCTGAAAAACGATCCGAACAACTGCCTGCAAATGGTGTAGTATACTGGTTAGTACTGCGGTGTTCCCTTTTAATTCTACTGATCTGCGAACCTTTAGACCATTATCTCCAAACGCGAGGGCGCTTTTTTCGATCTTCTCGACATCTCTCTCAAACTCTTCATCACTCTCAGCGCCGGCTGCTTCTCCTCCATCAACGCGACTCTCGATACTTGCGACCATACTGGCAACTTTCTGCTCGAACGACTCCTCCAAGCTCCTTATCTCGGCTTTCATCTCATTCCTCACGGCTTCGACACGCTGAGCACATCTCATCTCCAGTGCGCGGACTTCCTGTGCGTGTTGCAGTTCCTGATTCTCCGCAAGATCTAGTCGACGGTTGATAGTTGCCATCTGGCTTAAGACTTGCGAAACTTTCAACTTTTGAGACCCGCCATTGGTTTCTGTCGAGGCACTTGGACCTACACTCCCAGAAACGCTGGCAGAGAGTCTGGGATCGACGACGGGAAGGACTGAAGATGGGCGCTCGAACTCAGGACAGCGGGAAGGCACTAGTGTCGTGGCTGGAGCAGATACTGGACGACCACCTGGCATTCCTCCAGGACCGCGACCACCTGGGTACATACTATGTGCCTCCACACCATGTGCACCAACCATTCCGCCATATGGATGGCCTGCTGGCACGGCTGGAGGACCGTACGAAAGAGGGGTCGGAAAGTTGAAGTTGTATTCGGGGCTTGACTGCATGGGATGTTGTGGGGGCGTTTGACGTGTCGTTGCTCTCAATCAGCCTGTCCGCCTTATCATCAATGTCTCCTGTATCATTCTTCTATATTATTGAGCTCGCTGCATTGGATCCCGAAGCGCTGTGCATGTTTTCAAGCTATGTCGAAGCGTGATTATAGCCTGCGGTGAATGTATCTATGTAAGGAAATTCTGCGTAAATTGTACGGAAAATGTAAGGCAAACATGTCTTAGATTCCAGGCAAAGTCTGTAACTTCTGGCAAATTGCCCGACGAGAAGATCTAACAGAAAACATCGTGATATTTTCGTGAATTTTCACACTTTACCCACATTTTACCTACATGGTATTTCGTGTGTTTGTGCTGTGATTCTTCCATCAGGGAAACCTTCCCGTCCTAACTTAGATACAAATATACACAATAGCATCTAAGTCAGATAACTTATCACAAGTTAGAGGTAGATGTACATAAACACGATAATGTTCATAGCTTACAAAAAATTATTGCGAGTTTATAGTAATAATTATCCCACGAATTTCAAATTTAATGTTTCAAGACTCTCAACTTTCAAGTAAACCTTGTCCGCCCAATTACCTCAGATCTACAATGGAAACAAAACGATCGAATCATCATCAGCAATCACGCAAATATTCAATTGCAACGTTCAGCGCTCAGCGCTCAGCTCCACCATCAATATATCCAGAAGCTCTGCACATCTGCTACGCATAGCCTCGGTGTGAGCATTCCCTAAGTAACCTTGATACTTAGCTCACCCGCGCCCGGTACATGTGGCACTCATAACCACCGCGGCAGGTCACCGCATTATGATCATGTTTTGGAAAGATCACTCATGGCCACGCCGAAGTAGGCATTAACTTAGACATTCCTACCAGTCTGTCTCTTCATTGTCTGATGCTGTAAATGTCACGCTGACCCTTGCACATCCACCATCATCATGGTCCGTTCTCTGTCACTACACGGCTCAGATACAATGAAGGTCTGCGGTTGGTCTATCTTAATACATAGCTGATGTTTCATAATTACTGAAACTGATGCAGAGCTTCTCACACTACTATCTCCGAAACAGCCTCATCTCTATAAAAGTGCTGGATGGTGGTGGGTCTGCACGAACTCCATACGTCCCATCCCGATATGACCTACATCGTCTCAAATGATCCCTCTTGGTGGTCGGTTATCAGCGGTCTCCGTTTTGCTAGCTATTTTGCAGGTCCGTAAAAGCAAGTGGGATCACGATGTTGACACCTCACTATCATCGACTATGGTTTCGCAGTTGCGTCTACTGTCTCGGTGGTATACGATTGGGGTGAGCGAGATAATGCTTTCCGAGGGAATTACTCAAACATGTATACGGTATTCAAGTATTAACATTCGCACAAGAGGTAGGTTGATCTCATGACCCGCGCAGCCATCTCACGATGCTCTAACAGTTCGAACTCATCTGGGTGAGCAAAGTATTATATCGGAAGCAAACAGGATAATGTGGTTGACTCTGTGCAGAGGCGACGCTGGTCCTTCATGACCATTCTTTATGTTTCTGTACGTTGTGTTATGAGCGCAGTTGATATTTTATGCTAACTTCAACATATGCTAGGTACGCTACATCGGGATACTGTATTCTCTGTACGTTTCCAAAGGTAACAACTTGATACCGCACTGTACTAATATATACCATATGTCACAATCAGCGCGTTCACAATATGTATGTGTCCCCAAATACGCTCTGTTAATTTATTCTAACTGGCAGCATGTAGGGTTGCTCCCATTCCCGATGCCAGATCAAGTGGGTATTCGGCACAGACGCCTGACATTATTATTCCCATTCAACCACTAACTGCATTCCTACACAGACGTGAGTGACAATCTTAAAAGTTTGATGTTTCTACAGCACAATGGCCACGACAGCTGTAAGTCCATTCTAAGCATTGAGTCCATCAGTACACATCTGACACTAGATTGTTCAGGCAACATCCTTTATTTCATAGTGGCATGGGCGCCGATCGTCATCGATGCCGCACTAGGCCGTGAGCTCACCTCCGTACCGTACTGATACTGACTTGACTAAAATATCATACAAGTCATCATCATGACTCGGCTACATGCCATGTATGGGCGATCCAACAAGATGCTCATCTTTCTCGCCGCATTCTTGCTGGTTGCCACGATCGCCGCCGCAGTTGTGACGTTCATGGGAAACTTGGGTTATTCAGGGGGTGAGCTTTAATTATTCATGACAGCTTTGAGCGCACGAGACTCATGGACAACGATCAGGGGAGGCCGTGCTCTCTGGTTACCATGTCTGCGATTGCCATCTTGACACAAACTCATTGGAACTGACTGACGACATGATCATACCCACCGCTATATGGGAAATTTCCGCCTTTTGTCTTGCAGTCCGGATTGTTATAAAACGCTTCCATGAACTGCGACAATCTCAATCACAGAGCAGATCGGCCATCGGGGACTGTCTCACAGTGTTAATACAAAGTCACGCGTTGTACTTTCTAGCGTGAGCTCGGTGGTCCGTATCTTGTTATCTCGTTCTTCTGAAGTTCTGCATATGCTAGCTTCGTTGCCGTGGCTTTCTTCGCTCTTGGCGCATTGTCTCCTTATATCATGGTGCGCTGACCTGCGACTAGCATCTGCATCTGACCAATCCTGATCACGTCTACAGTATACATATACTTTGGGAATAGGTGTTTATGGCGGCTTTTTCACCCTTTTACTGGGACTCCAGATGTGTGTTCTGGGACCACGTCTCATCCTCAGCGTTCGTGAATATGACGCGAAGCTCGTGGCCATGTTTGACGAGGCAACACACATGACACCCATTGCTTTCCAGACTGGTGGAGATGTATTGACTGGCGGAGATGTATTGACTGGCGGAGATGTGTAGCACCGAAAACAATCCCAGCCCAAGTGACCAACACAGGGTACTGGGCACCGTGTATGTGTATATTTTATGTTTTATTGTGGCATTTAAAGATAGGTGATTTAGAGGATACATCCCGGCATTTACTTGGTGTTCCGGAAGATAAAATTATATCTGGGCAATATCATGTTATATTACTGGTAGAACTAGCTGCCTCGCACCATCCTTGTCGCCCGATCGTGCCAGCAGCCTTCCGTGCTCAAAATCTACGAGACAAGCAGATTAGAAAAGTCGACAAATTCTCAACGAACGACAAAGCAAAACTCGCTCACGGGCATGATGCACGACATAAGAGTCCAATTCGATGGCAGGTCCGTACTCAAAGACGGCATGGAATGCACTCCCCGAGTACGCGCGTGCGTCCTGTGGTGAGAAGGAGATTTTCTCGAGCTCAGCACCCTGGTCCTAGATGACGTGCATAAATGAGGGTATTAACAGGTATGTAGAGAATTGTCGGAAGACGAGGTGACGGGCAGGGAGCTTGTTGCTCCTCAGGAAAACGATCCTCAAAATTATCTGCACCTCCTAGAGCGAGAAAAGTCCAAGTGCCCGAACACGCTATTCCCAACGGAAAAAGGAAACACGAAAAGCACAAACGCACTGGATTCACCACAAACTGCCAACACACCCCCTCCACAAACCGTGAAAGACAGACGTCAGCCCAGTACACACTACGTGACTCCACCATCTGATTTCTCAACCCCACTCGCCTTCCCACTGCCCACCCCACCACCACCACCACTCTCACTCCCTTGCGACGAAAGCACCAACCCCAATTCCCCCAAACACCAACAACAACAGGAAACGCCTCTCTCGCAATAACTTCCCTAGGCGCATGGAAGATCGCGTGGAATACGTAGGCGGGCACTAGGGCTTAGAGGAGAATTTTGTCGGATTGGGATAGGTATTTACGGGCTCTGCAGGCGACGAATTTCTGTGTGTTTAGTTAGTGTTGGGTTCCGGGTGGAGATGGAGATGGGTGGACGGATGGAAGGAAGGGACGGGGGAAGCATGCAAGAAGCAAGTAAATTTAAACGAAATACACACCTCGACAGGAAAACTCTTCCCCGCGACTTTCTGCCTCAGCCCTTGGACATACACCGTCAACTTCTTCGCTTCTGCATGCTTGCCGAGCGTAGGTAGGCACGTCGCTTCGACGTATGTATATGTTGCCTTGGACCACTAGGTGCACTGAGATGATAATGAGAGATTGAGGGATGAAGAGTAGAGAGGTCGAGGGATTGTAAGGAAAGAAACCGAGAGATATCGACACACGAAAGAAAAAATGATAAGCGAAAATGAACCAAAAGAAGGAAACAGAAACTCACCATAGCCTTGCCTCCAAGCTTTACCCACCACGATCTGATTTCCGCGACTCTGCGGAAAACCACGCATCAGTATCTTTGAAACACATGCATATACCTAGCAGGTAGTAGTTCTGGGTGAGTAATAGCATATGCTGCGTCGACCGTCTCGATCTATTGACCTAGTTGGTGGTATATGGAGATGGTGGTACGCATGTTGAATCTGAGTGTATGCGATCGTACTAAGATATCAGTGAAAGAAAAAGGGAGAAAGAACGAAGTACGCACACCTCCCTGATGAATGCCAGCCAAGAACCTTCACGCATTGAATAAGACCATATCCAGTCGCAAAGTACAATCTCTGTCTGCAGTGATCTCAGCTTCTGAGGTGGGAGTGAAGAAGACGGTAGTACTTGTCTGGATCGCTTTCGTGCATGCGAGATTGAAGGAATTCGTGGAGGGCCCAATGGAAACCTGAGATGTCGTCGAGGGAGTTTGTAGGGTCGTAGGGATTGCTGACGGATAGGGTTGAGTTGAACGTAGTGGTGTGGGCGAAGAGGGCTTGCTGCGTACGGGCGTCTAGGGTATTTCAGGGACTGGTGCAGGGGGCGTCCCTTCATTGGACGATGATGAAGCCACGACTGGGAGGTTGAGAGGTGATGCAAATTACCGAACTTGAGAATGCCATTCACGCGAATGCCGTTGTCGAGGCCCTTGGCGCGGATATGCACGCTTGGGTTGCTGTTCCGTTATGCATTGCTTGTGCACCTCTCAATCTTCTGGTAGAGCTTCAATTAGGGAAGAACACGAAGTAGACTGGAGATATGATGGAAGAGAGTAATTTTGCGCTTGTAAGTGGCAGATAGTGTCGCATTGTCGACCTCACTATCCACTTGAGCTTCTGGAAAGCTAGGAGTAAAATTAAGCAACCGATTTTCGAGTAGGATGTGCTTGGTAGGCAGATCGACGCGCGAGAGAGAGGAGTCATGTGCAAGGTGGACCAAGACTTGATTAGCGGTGAGGTCTGGGGCAGCAATCAGTACCTGGAGTTTGGACTGTGGTGGCGCAGGTGTAGTAGGTACTACTTTGGATATATGCAGATGGACCCTGGAGCAGTCAGAGTCTGTGGTTCTGAGGTCATACTAGAAAGAGGTCAGCTCAAGCCTCAGTCTAGGAGACCAGACGGAGTTACCACCCATTCGTCAACCTTTGATCCGAGTCGAAACTTTACCTCGGAAGTGACCCAAGCATTTCAGACGACGAGACAAAGCTGGTCGGATTTCTGTATGGCATTTGACATGGTATGAGATATGGTATTGGATTCGCATAGAGAAGTTTGAAATGGGTAGTAGAAGAAAGAAACGCACCCTGGTCCTTCAGCAGCGTCGGTAATGAAATGGCTGTGACCGAGGCCGCTTCGGGAATGTATCAGAGATCATGCACATGGTTTCCTGTAATTGCAGTGCGCGGGTTAACTTGATCATGTTATCTGGGAAGCTGACGCAGGGCTCATGATAACCAATGCTCCTTGTTGTGCACTGACATGTTGAATCATTGATATTTTAGTGCGTGCTGGGCACGACACGCGTGGGGGCGATCAAATGCCGAGGCTTGGCCGATCGGGCTCAATTCGGTTAATTTAAAATTTTCCCCAGTACTACTCCGCAAACTCGTCGAGTCGTTGTTGTCGATGAGTCTCAAATCAACCCCGTCCGCCCAATAACCTCAGAGACCCGTCAACAGGCAACTAAGGCATGTCTAGGAAGGAAGGAAAAAGGCGATAACGGACACAAAAACGCACCTCGACACGATCGAATCCTGAGTTTTCCTTGATTCTGCGGAAAATCAGCATCGGCGATCGCACAACTATCCAGCTCCTCCATCAATCTGTTCAGAAGCTCTGCGCATCTGCGACGCATAGCCTTGATGTGAGAATTCCGTGACTGGTCTTGCAAACTGAGCCCACCCAAGCCCGGTACATCACTGCTGTGATCAGATGATGTCTGGGGAAGATAATCAATGGCCACGCCAACGTAGGTATTAACTCTGGCATTCCTACCAGTCTGTCTGATGTTGCAAATATCACTCTGGCCCTTGCACATTCATCATCACAGTGGTCCGTTCTCTGTCACTACACGGCTCAGATATAATGAAGTCCTGCGGTTGGTGTATGTTCATCGATAGCTAACGTTGTGTGATTACTGATGGAACTGATCCAAAATCCCCCAAACAGCAAGTTTCATCGCGAATAGATTTTTCGGTATTCAAATATTCCACGGATTTCAGACGTAAGTTACATCAAAGTTCTTCGAACGACGGCTTCTCACTACTATTCCCTTTCTACTTTCTGTGATCAATAAAGGTTGTGATTCAAGGCATAGCCACTGTCCAGCCTGATCATTATAAAAGCGCTGGATGGTGGTAGGTCTGTACGAACTCCATACGCCCCATCCTGATATGACCATCATCGTCTCAAATGATCCTGCTTGGTGGCCGTTCCTCAGTTCTTCTCAGTTTACTAGCTATTTTGTAGGTTTGTGAAGAGCAAGTCTGATGATGATGTTGACTTCTCACTATCATTGACTGTGGTTTCGCAGTTGCATCTGCTGTTGTGGTGGGATACGATTGGGGTGAACGAGATAATACTTTCGGAGTGGATCATTGATATGTTTACCACAGTATTCAAGCATTAACATTCGCACAAGAGGTAAGTCGATGTTTAAGTTATGACCTGTGCAGCAATCTCACATAAGAATGCTCCAACAGTTCGAACTCATCTGGGTGAGCAGAGTCCCATATTAGAAGCAAACAGGACAATGCGGCTGACTCGGGGCAGAGGCAACGCTGGTCCTTCATGACCATTCTGTATATTTGTGTACGTTTATTTCATGAGCGTAGTTGACATCTTGTGCTGACTTCAACATATGCTAGGTCCGCTCCATTGGAATGATATATTCTCTGTATGTTTCCAAGGCTAACGCATTGACACCGCACTGTACTGATAAACCATATTAATCAGCACCTATGTACTACGTATGTATCCCCAAATACACTGTTCGTTGATTCTGACTGGCAGCATGCAGTCCTTATCCCAGTCCCGGTGGCAGACGTAGTGGGTATTTGGCAGCGACATCTGACATTCTCATTCTCATTCAACTACTAACTGCATTCCTACACAGGGGTGAGTAACAATCTCAGACAGCTTGATAGTTAGACATGACTGCAACAGCTGTAAGTTCATTTGAAACATTGAGTCGATCAATGCACATCTGACACTGGGTTTTCCAGGCAACATCATTTATTTCATAACAACATGGATACCTGTCGTCGTCAATGCCATGCTGGGCGGTGAGCTCACTTGCCGTACCTCACTGATGCTGACTTGATTGATATATTATGCAAGTTATCATGATGACTCGGATACACGCCATGTATGGGCGATCCAGCAAGATGCTCATCTTTCTTGCTGCACTCTTGCTAGTTTCCACGATTTCCACTGGAGTTGTGGCGATAATTGGAAACCTGGGTTATTCAGGGGGTAAGCTTTCATTATTGTTGACAGACTTGAGCACATGGGACTCATGGAAAAATACCAGGGGAGGGCGTGCTTTCTGGTCACCATATCTGTCTTCACAGTTTTGACACAAACGAGTTGGATCTGAATTTGTGCACGATGGTACCCACTGCAATATGGGAGATCCTTGCCTTTTTTTTTGCAGTCCGGATTGTTATAAAACACCTCCGTGAACTGCGACAATCGCAGAGTGGATCGACCATTGGAGACTGTTTCACGGTGCTAATGCAAAGTCACGTGTTGTACTTTCTAGCGTGAGCTCAGTTATTTGTATGCCGTTGTCTTGTTTCGCTGAAGTTCCGCATATGCTAGCTTTGTTGTCACGGCTTGCTTTTTTCTTGGACAACTGTCTCCGAATATCCCGGTGCGCTGACCTGCGACTGGCATCTGCATCTGACCACTCCTGATCATGTCTACAGTTCACATCTACTTTGGGAGGTGATGTGTATACTGGCATTCTCTACATTTCCCAGGTGTTCCAGATGTGTGTGCTGGGACCACGTCTGATCCTCAGCGTTCGTGAATATAGCGCCAAGCTCGTGGCCAGGTCCGACGGGGGGACACACATGACGTCGATTGCTTTCCAGGCTGGTGCAGATGCGTTGACTGGCGGAGATGTGTAGCACTGGAAACCGGCCAAGTGATTAACCCTGGATAGTGGGCAGGGGACATGTGTATATTTGATTTGAGTTTCGTTGTGGTATTTAAGGATAGGCGATTTGGAGGATATGTGTAGGAACTCGTCCCCATATTTATTTCGTGTTCCGGAGGATAAAATTATGTCTGGGCAATGTCATATTACATTACTACTGGAACTACCTGTCAACTCAAGCATGCACGGAGTTTACGGACGTCTCGCAATCATTCAACGAATACGGGTTTGTGTTTCTGCTCTACTGGCATATGATGGATCAAATGCGTGGGCTTCGCAATGTGCGAGTTGTGGTCGTAAACGGATGCCGTCTGGGAAACACTGGGATAGTACCAGCGTCGAAGTCATGAAAACACGAAAAACGCACCTCGACAAGAATATTCTTCCCTGAGGTTCTCTGCCTCATCGTTCAGTCCTTGTATGCACGCGCTCCATCGACTTCTGCGTATTTTCCCAGCATGGCATCCTGCTTCATCGTATGAGTATGTCGTTTTGGACCGCTAAACATTAAGATCTTTGTGCAAATATGACAGGAAAAAGTACCTAGAAGCATTTGGACCTGCAGCGGGTTCGCTGTGTCATCCAGACCTAAAAAGCGAATTCAATATGTCACAGTATGGACTGTCAACTGCCAGCACATGATATCATCAGCATTCTCGCCATCTTTCAACGCTGCACATGCTTTGCTTTCATATAAGCTGGCAGTGCCGGTATCAAAACTGCCGCGTTTTAGTCGTCCCGGTCACTTCCACTTCAGCCTTTCGAAGTCGAAGGTGCTCGGATTGATTTCCATTGCGATCGACATCATGGATTGCCATCTAAGAAATCTGCAATGGGAGTGGAAATGTTGTACACGGCCGCTAAAGCAGTCCCTGTTATTTGGGCGGCTCCGCACCGTATGGAGCCGTGTAGTAGAAGTTCCCATGATTCTTCCGGAGTGCCTGTGGGTATGAAATGAGTCGATACGATGTGACACAAAATGTATCGCACATACCAGCAGGAGGAAGGGCGTCCGATGGTATGTCTGTCATGTTTGATCAATGTTTCATAGAATCAGACAAGATGCGGAAGATTCAAACTGGACCATAGCATTCAAAATGTCCCTTATTTGACCGACAGCACAAGGGTCCCCCTGAGTATACTATGTCAACTCGTAAAACGTTCATATGCATCAAGATCGCCCAGCTCAGCCAGAGATCTAGACGCAACTCCCACAAGCCCCCCCAGGCCCAAACCAACAATATGTATGTAGGTATGCAGGTATCACCCAATTGCAAGTAAGCAAAACCACCACGCGCGGATAGAAAGAAGGACAGCACGTATCGATAGATATACGAATAGATATGACGTGAAACTGAATCCGTCAGTATGCACGGGTATCACAACAGGCGGTTCTGATCTAATGCTTCTAGCGCTGCATTCGTCCTTATGTGAAGTGCGTTCTGCAACAATCAAGTCAGCCTCGTTCGTTCTGCTCCAGGACACGTTTCGTACCTCTAAACTGTATTTACTCTGAAAAGGAATCCGTCAGTGATGAGATCGACAAATATTGACGAATCCAAAGCAGCAGTCAGTCGACGTACCTTTCGTCCAGCAGCGTTCACCTCAAGCGGCTTTCCAGACATCACAAGATTAAACTGAGTCCTTGCGCCATCCTTGTCGCCTGATCTCGCTAGCAATCTTCCGTACTCAAAATCTACGAAAAAAGCAAATCAGAAAGTTGGCAAATTCATAATGAACAACGGAGCTAAACACACTCACGCGCAAAATACACGATATAGTGGTCCAACTCAACGTCAGGTCCGTGCTCAAAGACAGCAAGGAATGCACCTTCCGAGTACGCGCGCGCGTCCTCTGGTGAGAACGGGATTTTTTCGTCAGGCTCGAGCTCAGCGTCCGGGTCCTAGATGGACGTGCGTCAGTGAGAGTATTGAACGGTCGCGAAGAATTGTTGGAAGACGAGGTGACGGGTGAGAGCTTGTTACTCATCACGAAAACGATCCTCGAGATCATCAGGACCTCCTAGAGCAAGAAAGAGCCAGTGCCCAAACACGCTAATCCCAACGAAAAAGCCCGACACAAAAACACATACGCACCGGATATGCCACAAACCGCCAACATACGCCCTCCAAAAACCGTGCAAGACAGACATCATCCCAATACCCACTCCGCGACTCCAGCTTCTTATGATTTCCTTTCTTAACCGCACTCGCCTTCCCACTACCCATCCCACTACCACCACTCTCACTCCCTTGCGACGAAAGCACCGACCCCAACACCCCCAAGCACCACCAACAGCAGGAATCATCTCCCTCACAATAACCTCCCTAGGCGCATGGGCGATCGCGTGGAATACGTAGGCGAGCTCTAGGGCTGGGAGAAGGAGTTTGTCGGATTGGGAGAGGTATTTGCGGGCTTTGCAGGCGACGGATTTCTGTGTTTGGTTAGCGTTAGGTTTTTGGATGGGTTGGAGGTTGGTTTGGGGATGGAAGGGAGGGGGGAAGCATGCAGGAAGCAAGTAGATGAAAGCGAAAAACACATCTCGACAGGAATACTCTTCCCTGCGATTTTCTCCCTCAGCCCTTGGACACGCTCCATCAACTTCTTCGCTTGTGCGTGCTCGATGAGCGTGGCTAGGCATGCTGCCTCGCCGTATGTGTATATTGCTTTAGACCACTTGATACACCGAACTGACAATACGAGATTGAGGGATGGGGAGTAGAGAGGTCAAGGAATTGGGCAGAAAGAGATCGAGAGATAGAGGGGAAAGATCGACGCACGAAGACAATCATAAGCGAAAACAAACCAAAAGAAGGGCAGGGAAGCTCACCATAGCCTCGCCTCCAAGCTTCCCCCACCACGACCTGCTTTCTGCGACTCTGCATAAAAGAACCCATCAGTATCCTTGAAACGCACGCATATACCTACACAAAAACCAAACCCCACACAGCACAAAACCAGCGAAACACACAGAGCTGAAACGTACCTCCAAAGCCCCAAACAAGCAACGGCACTCTCCCACCACGAAATGTGATGCAAATTCCTGTACTGTATCTGAGCTTGTGCAGCGCGTGCGTAGTAGGCGAGGGCTTTTGAGGGTTGGGAACGGACGAGGGCGAGACGGCCTGCACCGAACAGGAAGAAGACGCCTGTTTTAGTATTGGTGGAGCGAGAGAGTGAAGCAGCGAAGGTACATCAGACAACGCAGCGAAACAACACAAAATGCACACGCACCATTCGGATACCTCTTCAAATTCCACTCCAACACCCTCGCAGCCTTACGCACATCCACTCCTTCAAATGTAAACGCAGAGAGAACAAGGTGGAATATAAGTAGTGACATATCACAGATCGCACGTCGGACGCCTTCTGCGTCTGTTAAATTCATGTTAGCGTTTTGGACTTTGTACAGACATTATGGGCTCCATCTAACAATTCGAAAACGCTATTTGAAGAACCATAATACAAAACACGACCACTCACCTCTCTCGACCACCCGCCCATTTGCACCTCACCCCCCAGCCCTCTCCAACAACTCTAATCCAAACTTCCTATCGCCCTTGTACCCAAACAGCTCCATCAGCGGGAGGAGCTTTCCAGGCATCATACTGAGCACAAGGTGGGACATGCCGAGGCCTAGGTATACCCCGGAGCGGAAATGGGGGTCTAGGGAGGTATGGGTGCATGGATGGTGGGGTGGGAGATGATGGGAGCGGGGATGTGAGTTCGTCTGTAGATGTGAGCTTGGGGGAAGCAGGAGAAGGAGAAGGGGACGTACGTAGAAGGTATGACGGAGGAAGACCGGGTTATCATTATCATCTGCTCAGCGGGTAGTAGATATCATGCAAGACCAATCGGGCGATCGGGATTTTCACATAGGCATATGAGCCTTGTGGAAATACTTTTCAAGATTGAGATGTTTTTATTGTGGACCAGAGGTGCGTCTGGTTGAAGTTGCGCCTGCAGTCAGTGAAAATTTCGGCGTGACCAATGGCTGCAATTGGTCAAGAGAGTGAGGCTATTATTAGACTTCAATTTGCTATACTTGGACGTTCAACTCAAACGTCACTGACATGAACTCATTCTCGAATGCCATTTGTCGTCGAAAGCCCATCAGTGAATTTATCTGCCCGCGTTTCTCCAACAAATTGTCCTGTCTCGCAGTTCCGCCTGCCCGCTACCCCGTCGATTTCACTGGTCCCCACATGCTATTTTCTTTCCATCAGGTCTATGTTTACGCTCTCGTCTGTCCATGATTCACCGCAAAAGTGTCCTGTTTCGGATTTCAACCTACCCATTGGTGTGCCATCGACGAATCACTCAGGATGATGAATCTCGATGTTGTCATGCAAGCAGACCTGATAACATATACATATAACATACACTACCAGTGCCTATACAGTGCGTATTGTCTAAACCGCTTCTTCTTTCTCATTCTAACTTGACATCTCAGCGTTTCTAGCTACATTCTGGGTAGGATTGTCCATATCCATTCCCGTCCGCCGTTAAATTCGCTTATCCAGACATGATTATGCTTATTCAGTCCACGAAGAGGTAATCCACCTGTGCCGTGATACGCCTTGGCTTTGATATTGATGCTAATACATTGTTCACAATGGAAATTCCTGCTTCGGTTGCGCTGGACAAGGATAAAAAACCTTTTTATTGTTATACGACATGTCCCTTCTTTTCTCATCTCCACGAACCTATTATACTGTGCCGTATCCCAATAATGGACCGACATATTGTGCTTCTGTGACCTTCAGCTCGAACGAGACCCCCACGGTATGTGGACGTGCAGCAGACCTACTCACTGACACATGTCGCTTACTGCGTGACTTTGCCAGAAATGCCGGATATACGCATTGGTTGCTATAAAATCTATCGTGCTCGAGTGCTTTGCCAGGTTGGAAAGTAAGTACTGGCGCCGAGACCTTGCAGATACTGCTGCGGCAACTGCCATGAACTCATGGGTTGTTCATCCATCGGCGTCACGGCGTTCAGAATATTGTCCTGAACCTCTCTCAGAGTCAAGGGGTGTTTCTCATCCCGACTGCAAGCTTCAGCTCTCATTTTCCCACTCAGATACAATCCGAAATAGCTTCTGCTCTACGATCAATCCCCGCACATGCCATAAAGCTCCTGCTACGATGGCACCAGCATTTATGTTTTTAGAACATGGAGCATGTGCTGGAGTGTTCTTCTGATGGGTACCTATGTGTTAGTGAGTAGTATAACGGAATACCGAGGTACGCTGCTTATGGACGACAGATTACCACCCGACGTGCTCGAACAAATGTAATATTCAGCTGACGACGTCGCAGCAGCCACGAGTTTGCGGTACTTAGTGGTGCTTTATTTCCTAATACGAGGGTGAGATCATGACAGATATACCATGTGCTGCCACCAGTATCTATACAGTGCGTACTGTTAGGATTTGCTTCTTCTTCGTCCTCACTTGTCAGTTCAGCGGCTCTGGCTACATTCTTGGTAGGTTTGGAATGTACTTGTTCTGTGATACTCGGTTTTGACATCGATGATATGGTATTTAAAGTGGACATCCCTGTTTCGGTCGTGCCATATAAAAGTATGAATTGACATGCTGTATTTCAGTGAACTTCGCCCCGGACGAGAACCTCGATGTATGTGAACGTATCACTGCCAAAAAACGACGCTTACTGAATGCCTTCGTTAACAATGCAGGATATCGCTCGCTATTTACTCATGTGCGTGCACGGTACATGCTACATGCACGTCACCAAGCGCTGCTCTTCCCTCACACAGGTCTCGGAGTGATATCCCCGACTTGCTCTCAATGTATCTCTCCTTCTCCCGCGACATGTACGTGATCCTGATCCAATTTATTCAGTCTTGTTCATCCTCAGAAAGCATGCGCTTTTGAACAGCAATATAATCGTGCTCGTGGCCATGTTGTCAACCCTTGTGAGTCCCAAACGCCCTCACCACACCCAAACTTATGGCTGATGAATCGGTCAGGCCATCTTCATAGAATCCCTTTGCATTTGGCTTACAGGTATTGCCACGTCTCATAGTTCGCGCTCTCACCTTCCCCAGTACTATTTGAATATATTCACACCACTTTCACAGTTATTGTTCGTGTTTCAACTGGGTATGTCGCCAGGAATTAACTCATAGGAATACATCGAGTCAGGAAGAATTTGACGGGTATAAGTAATTGTGACAGCGAGCATTGTTCACCAGATGACTTTTGACGAAAATGGATATGAATACTGATACCTGTACACTGTTGCGAGTCTCTTATCGACGATTATGATACTGCGGCCACGTCTGAAATATTTCGCAATCGTCCAGTTGAATGGGCTCGTCTTGTTCGTATACCTTCTCTGGCGTCCGCCGGAGGATCACCGAGACACCGCAGAACCTCGCATGATCCATAGCCGACGGGCATACAGTTGACAATTCAAAATGTGTACTGATGGATTTACATTGGTCGTTCTGCCTAAAGTTATCGATAAGTCGGCCATGATCACGGGACACAGCGGGCACTTGCACTTGCCAAAACGTGATGTTGGCGAACCCATTGTCCAACCCTGTCCTATTCTTGAACGTCATTGAATTTCTCGTGAATACATCAAATCCGTCTAAAGTCGGGTCAAGATTCTCCACTTTCTGTTCGCCCCGCGACTCAGCCAACGTGTTCTTAATCACCTTCGATGCCTCTAGACATCAATGAGACTGCTCACCATCATGCGGGTTGCACGGCATCAAACTAGCTCCACTGGAAATGATGGTGTTGACAATCAAATGCGTGCAGCCCGTACGTAGCAAACGTGACATGTTCGCCTGCTGAACAATTTTTGAGAGAGAAGTTACAAGATATGCTTGTTTTACCTGTTAAGCTGAGATACACGATAAACACGGGATCAAATTCACTAGATTTGGATTGAATCAGTGTGTGCGATTTGCGCCATCCTCTATAAATTAAACATAGACATTAACCATGCCAGAGGCGTTCGTGCTCCTGGCCAACAGTAAGAGAGACTTGTTTGCAGCTTGAAGGGCAACAACGAATTCTTCACCGTCAGGCATGACAGAATAATCACTATAATCATCGCCATGCAGCGTGTCTTTAAGAACGCTATCAAGATGATTATGAAGCGCTGTGTAGAAGCGCTCTTGACTGGAATACGAACAGACCAGGACGTCAAGAGCTGTGGTCCAATCCAATTTACAACACACCTTTTTCAGCGCCCGAAATCACAGACTTGACCATAGTGGCCTGATGTTAAATTTCAAGGACCGCGCTGAGTGTCCGAATCAGCGTACAATGTGTTCATGTACTGTTGATTAAACCCAAGTAATTATACATATGCGCGTTTTGACTGCTGTGACCTTTCTAGCACCCAGTGATTGAGTTCAGCGAGGGCACATTCTATCAGAAAAGTGAAAAAAAGGAAACATAGGTTAGGTCTAGACGAACCAAAACACGGAAGTGGAGATACCATCCATCAAACCTCTTCTCAAGTTGATGTCACCGAGTAGTCGAAAAAGCTGAGCAAGAAAGGGATGAGAACGTGCGCGGGGACAATGAATTGTACTTAGAAAAAAAAGTCACCAGTTGCAATGATACTGGTGAGTGTTGTGTCCAGTTCACTCGTGGAACAGAGAAAAATATGTACCCACTGCTGATGTGATCTCTTCATCATCGATGCATATGCATCATCTGCTGGCTGCTTCTTGATTACATAAGCAATGTTTCTGCAAAGTCCTTTGCGTGTATTGGCGTGCCCACGTCCATATGATAATCTGGCTAACTCGTGTTTAAAACAAGTGTTCAACTGCTCTCAGCGTCAAAGTACCAGATACAACATAGTGCACGATGATCAACCCTTGTCCCTCCCCACTATCCGCATCCATATATCATTGGCTAATCTCCACCATGCATCAATTTAACCCAGCCAATCGATAATGGGCGCTTCCAACACCCAAGTTCGTCGTTTATGTAAATATCCTGTGCGAACAGCCGCCTGTCCATTCTGCGTGCCCTAAACCACCTTCCTCGTTCCTTCTACACCAAGCAAACTCATACTCACTTGTCTTTCCAACTTCCTCGATGACTCATGAAGACAATATTCCTCGGAAGAAACACGGGTGGCTGAAGAAAAGTCGTTCCGACCCTCATTTGGAGGAGAGAGGCAGGGAGCCAGCCAATGATGTGTGTACTTTCGTATTCACAACTATGTATCGCTTCTAATCGTTACAGACGTTTCCTCTCTCGCCCTCGAGGAATGAATCTCGTGGACGATCCCCGGGAAGATTTCGCAAGTTCTTCGCCAAGGTGCCCAACCCCTTCCAACGAAGCGCTCGAAGCGCTCGACAGTCTCCCAACCCTCAAACCACCGCTGCAACCTCCGGCGCACAACATATCCCACCCATTCAGATAACCCAGGTATGTGTAATCTCAACTCTGTGCATATCCGTGTGCGATGATTGATACTGCAGGATCCTTCACCACTCATCACTCCCACTCCCGAGCCGAATATTGAGCTGTCCCCAAATCCAAGGACCGCAGACGTAAGTTCAACCAATGTAGTTGGGAATATTCTTTCGATTAAGTTCTAACGTCCATGATATCAGGCTGAACATCTCGACCCGAAGTCTGTGAACGAAAAAATCACTAGCGCCACCACAGGTCTCGCAGGCATCGGTCTTGTCCCACCAATCATCCAAGATACATCTTCAGCACCCGACCAATTACAACCTGTTTCCGGTGTGATCAGCACAGTCTCCGTGTTGCTTGGACCCTTGAAGGTCTTCAACACCATTGCCAAAGAACTTGCTGATGTACGATCTTCTATCTCTGTTTCGTACGTGACTGACTTTCTTACGTAGGTGCATCCCTACGTAAAGGTAGCATTGAGTATCTTGACTTGCGCGTCCAAGGTGGGTTTTGCTATATCATTACCTTCGCAGATTAACCAGGCTTTTCGTGACAGATGATCATCGATCAGGCGAACCGTGATGATGCTGTTCTTGGTCTCCTCAAGAAGATCTCAGACGTCTATACTTTATTAACGGAACGAGATGGATTGGCTAGGATTGCGTCTATGCTAGAGATATGCGGAAAGATTGCGCGACAGACGCTGGAGTGTGCCGACTTCATTGTATATTACTCGGAGATGACGAATTTCTGTAAGTCATTCCCACCGTATTGTCGCCCAAGACTTAATCTCTCTGTATAGGGCGAAGACTTGGCAAGCACGTCTTGAAACAAACAGAGGCCGCGATCCAAAGCTACAACGATGTTCTCGACGATCTCATGCAACAGTTACGAGATCAAATGGCTCTCACCACTGTTGAGACTGTCCACCGTATCGGTAAGAATACCTTTCAGTTCTTTTTGAGCCCTCTCTGAAATCTGATACCGATAATTCAGCTGAGGACCTGGATGTTAACGGCATGGAATATGTGCCTGGTGCTGGACGGAATACCTCCAAGAATTGTCTCCCAGGCACTCGGGAAGACATTCTGTCCGAAGTCAAGTGCTGGATCCGTAGCACGGGAGAAGACGTGCAGCGGGTCCTATGGTTGTCTGGCACTGCGGGGAAAGGCAAATCAGCCATCGCACATACCATTGCCAACTGGTCTCATGAGCGTGGGGGCATGCGGGCTTGTTTCTGTTTCGACCGCACAAGGGAAGCCGAACGCCGCCACGAAAAGATATTCACCACGATCGCACGCGACTTGGCCGATTGCGATATTACCATGCGTGGGGCATTAGCGCGCGTGGTTCATGATGATAACGAGCTCAAGCATGCGATAGACATCTCAAGACAATGGCAGAAGTTAGTCGTAGGACCAATCGGCGAAGCTTCGAAAGCAATGACTGCGCCCGCAGTGATCATTATCGATGCGTTGGACGAAAGTAGCGACCCCAAATCCCGGGAACAAATTCTTCATCTGCTTGCTGGCGACTCCGACACTTCTTCCCCCCCGCTATCCCCGCTTCCGTCCAACTTCCGTATCATCGTCACTTCCCGTCCACTTCAAGATATTCGCGATGCCCTGGGTACACCACATGTCCGCCATATCTCCATGGATGATGATATCCCGGCTGCATCCACTGAACATGACATCCAGGTTTACATCTCTGATAGGCTGAAAGCTCTGCGTCACACCTTCAATGACGCGCACTTCGAGGCACTCGCTTTGAAATGTGATGGCCTGTTTGAATGGGCTCGGCTCGCCTGCGAGTATATCAAGGGTACGAACAGAGTTAGCCTGGATCCGACAGATCGCTTCGACTCTGTAGTTGCCGGAACATCTGAAAAAGGAACACGCCTGTTGGATGTTATGTATGCGCGCATCTTAGCAGAAATCATGCCAGAGGACGAACGCGGAGAATCTATCGCTGTGTTTCGCTCAGTGATGGGGCAAATCCTTGCCTCGTTGGAACCACTTCCCATGCCTGCGTTAGAGGTTATGCGACTTCATTTTCCCGATGGGCGTAGTCGTTATAAAGTTGACCGGGTCATTGGGCCATTGGGCTCGCTTTTGACCAGCATAACGGATTCTCATTCTCCCATTCGTCCTCTCCACGCGTCCTTCTACGACTTCCTCACAGACACATCGCGGAGCCATGACTTCTTCGTTGATCCAAAGGCGGTACAGAGTGATCTTGCTTTTGCTTCACTTCGAGTCATGGAGCGCGGACTTCGCTTCAACATCTGCTCCTTGGAGAATTCATACTTGCCCAACTCTTCCGTCCCTGACCTGGAGAAGCGAATAAAAAAATACATTCCGGCCGAGCTATCATACTCATGTCGATTCTGGGGGACTCACATCGGCGGTTCGTCCTTTGAATCATCGCTCGCTAAGGAAGTTGAAGCTTTCTTCGATGGAGAGCGCCTCCTTTGGTGGTTAGAAGCGTTGGCTCTGATGAAAAGTATTGGTGGCTCGATAGACTCACTCTTGTCTATCGCAGATTGGGCCACGGTGTGTGTTTTGAGCATATTGTTCGCGCAATAGATGCTGACGAGTAGTGGGGTGGTCATAGGGTCATGCCGAGTCCGTGAATGTTAGTGATGCTACCAGGGACACGCTGCGCTTCGTTCGAACCTTCGCGGCCACCATTTCACGCAGCACTCCTCATTTATACTTGTCCGCCCTACCATTCGCTCCAACGCAGTCGAGAATATTTCGCAATTTCGCTGCAAAGTTTCCTCACACCCCCCGTATCGTTGCTGGCCGTGTTGTAAATTGGCCTCAGATGGAAAAGATACTCCACGCAAATGGCTATGTTTACTCGGTTGCAATGTCGCCAGACGGAAAACGTATCGCATGTGGTTTAGCAGACTGTACGATCCAGGTGTGGGATATGGAGACTGGCGAGGCATTGTGTGCCCCTCTCGAAGGCCACACAAGCATCGTGACGTCTGTCACATTCTCGCCGGATGGAAAGCGCATCGTGTCAGGTTCATGGGACAACACGGTCCGGGTGTGGGATTTCAAGACTGGCGAGGAATTAGGATCCCCTCTCCAAGGCCACACCGGCTCTGTTCTATCTGTTGCCATCTCGCAGCATGGAAATAAAATCGTATCTGGTTCTGAAGACAAGACAATCCGGGTGTGGGATATGAAGACTGGCGAAGCAATTGGTCACCCTCTCGAAGGGCACACTGGCTATGTTCAGTCGGTCGCAATTTCGCAGGATGGGAAACGCATCGTGTCCGGTTCGGAGGACGACACAGTCAGGGTGTGGGATATGGAGACTGGCAAGGCATTTGGCCACCCTCTTGAAGGGCACACCGACTTCGTTCAGTCGGTCGCAATTTCGCAGAATGGGAAATATATCGTGTCCGGTTCGGACGACAATACGATCCGGGTGTGGGATATGGAGACTGGCAAGGCATTGGGTGCCCCTTTCCGAGGGCACACTAACTCTGTTATGTCAGTCACAATCTCATCGGACGGAAACCGCATTGTGTCCGGTTCAGTTGACCAGACAATCCGAGTGTGGGATTTGAACACTGGCGAGGCATTAGGATCCCCTCTCCAAGGCCACACCGACTCTGTTCTATCTGTTGCCATCTCGCCGGATGGAAACCGCATAGTCTCTGGTTCGGATGACAGGACGATTCGGGTGTGGGGTGCCGACACTATTATGGGCAAGGCATCAGTTGCCGCCCTCCAAAACCACGCTGGCTCCGTTAATTCTATTGCAATCTCGCCAGATGGGCATCGCATTGTGTCGGGTTCAGATGACCAGACAGTTCGGGTGTGGGACATGGCGACTGGCGAGGCATTGGTTGCCCCACTCCAAGGGCACACTGACTCCGTTCTGTCTGTTGCAATCTCGCCCGATGGCGAGCAGATTGTGTCTGGTTCAGAAGACACGACCATCTGGGTGTGGGACATGGGGACTGGCGAGGCATTGAGTGCGCCTCTCCAAGGGCACACTACCACTCCTGTTAACTCCGTCGCAATCTCATCGGATGGAACCCGCATCGTGTCTGGTTCATATGACATGATTCAGGTGTACAATGCAGCGGTGTATGGCAACGCATCATGTACTCCTCTCCAAGTTGAAGAGCGCACTCGCATTTCGTCTGTCGCAATCTCGTCGGATAGAAGCTTTATTGTTTCTGGTTCACAAGACGGTCTAGTCAGGATATGGAATGCGGAGACTGGAAAGGCATCAGATGCCTCTTGCCGAGGGCATACTGACCATGTTCGATCTGTTACAGTGTCGCCGGATGCAAAATGTGTCGTGTCGGGTTCAGATGACAAGACCGTCCGGGTGTGGGATATTGGGACTGGCAAGGCCTTGAAATCTCTCAAAGGGCACACTGACTGGGTTCGCTCTGTCGCAATCTCGCAAAATGGCCAATACATTGTGTCCGGCTCAGACGACGAGACGATCCGGGTGTGGGATATGAAGACTGGTGAGGCAGTGGGTGCCCCTTTCCGAGGGCACACTCGTTATGTTATGTCCGTTGCAATCTCACCCGATGGCAAACACATTGTGTCTGGTTCAGAAGACAAGACCATCCGGGTGTGGGACCTAGAATGTCTTCACCGGCACCAACTATTCGCATCCGTAATATGCTTCTCACCCGACCCATCTCATGCCCTTCATTCCGCCTCGTCCTTTCTCTCGGATTCTGAAGCCCCAGCCCCTTCCGGTCCGACGAAGGAGGGATGGGTCGTAGGTCCCGAAGGACGGCTTCTCCTTTGGATCCCACCCACTTTCCACCCGGCGACGTTCGCCCACGGCAACGTGTTGGTGATACCCACCAACGCCTTACAGCTTGACTTGAGTTGCGTCGCACACGGCACGTCTTGGCACAAGTGTCGAACGCAGGAGGCAGAGTCATCTTCGTGATAGATATCTATCGGGTCACACGGCGTAAATTCCTGTACTCCGTGTGAGCCTGTGCAGAGCGGGTATAGCCAGGGCTTTTGGGGGTTGGAAACAGATGAAGGCGAGGCGGCCTACGCCGAACAGGAAGAAGACGCCTGTTTTTGACATTGGTGAAGCGAGTGAAGCAGTGAGGAAACATTAGACGGCGCAGGCAAGATGAGTAGTGGCATATCACAGATCGCACATCGTACACCTTATGTGTCTGTTGAATCCATGTTAGCGATTTGAACTTATGGACAGGCACGTCCTCCATCTCCCAATTCAAAAAATGAATGCCAGTAGAAGAACGATAATACAAGACATGATCACTCACTCCTCTCGACCACCCGCACATTTTCACCCCACCTCCCGCGAGATGGAAGGAATTAACGGAGGGCCCAGTCGAGACCTAGGATGTCGTGGAAGGCGTTTATACTAGGGTTGCAGAGATTGTTGACGGGTGGGGTTGGAATGGACATGATGGTGTGGGTGAATAGGGCTTGCTGCGTATGGGCGTCCAGGGTATTTCAGGGACTGGTGCGGGGGATGTGCCTTCATTGGACGGTGATGAAGCTACGAGATTAGAAGGTAATGCGAATTACCGAACTCGGGGGTGTCACTCACGCTAATGCCGTCGTCGAGGCCCTTGACGCATATATGGATGCTTGGGCTGCTATTTCGGTATGCATTGTTCGTGCACTTTGTAGTCTTCTGGTACAGCTTACATGAGGGAAGAATACGAAGTAGACTGTAGATAATATGGAAGACAGTTACTCTGCGCTTGTACAGATGGCATCAAACTATCGGTGTGACTGTCCACACGAGCTTCTGGCAAGCTAAGAGTAACAATATTTGAGCGATTCTCGATTAGGATGTGCTTGGGAGGCGGGTCAATGCGCAAGCGAGAGGAGTCATGTGCACGGTGGACCAAGACTTGATTAGTGGTGAGATCTGGTACAGAAAGCAGTAAGGTGCCTGCAGTTCGAGTTGTGATGGCGGAGCAGCACTAGGTACTGTTTTGTAAATACGCAGATCATCTGGGCTTTCAGTTTGCCCAGCCAACTACTGAAGAGTTATCCGTCCTGTCGGTTCTTACGAGTTGGTGTTCTGAGTCTCGGCGTGCGGACTTCACACGTATCTCTGATCTTCGCTCACACCACCCCCTCCCGCTGATGAGTCGAATTGTCTCCGTAACGGTAAATCTTGAATATTTGAATCTTGATACGACGGGAGGAAACGCGAGAAACCTTGAAATAAATTATGTCCATAAATTCAAATTCAAATATTACGTCATCGAGACAACTTACTTTTGTCAACCCAACTTATTCTTCGTCGTCCTCATCGTCTTCTACATAGCTAGAGCTTCAAATATTGACAAATGGTGACTTCGGGCACTATCTTAGAGACTAGTACTGGAATGAAACTCGACAACGCACCCTCCATGCTACTTCTGGACGTGACCGCAAGGTGGAGCTCTCCGAGTCTATGGACCCCTACCTCCCCGTCTTGACGCCTGAGGGCCTGAGCATTGAGCCACTCACCCCCGCATCGAGCAGGTAACTGAAAATTACCTTACAAGGTAGAAAAATAAAAATTCTGAGACGCAATCCAACTCACTTGCCTTCCTCGCTAACCGAGTGGCTCGTCCCTTATGCTCAGACCATCGCACACGATTGCTTCGCGCTTTTTGCCTTTAAAGGCAGAAACGTGCGCCGCAGAAAAGCAATCGTACTCGATGTCCATAGCACACCTGGTGCTTTAAAAGAAGCGTGCAAGATGTGTGCATTTGCCCCAACACACGCGCTTTTCATTCACTCCAAGGATTTAATTCCACCCCGCAGATCATTCACAACCCCTTCCTTCCTCTCAAACACTATCACAAGATGCCTGCTGCAGAACGTAACATGGTACGCTTCCAGCTTACCTCATTACCCGTCTTGTACTTATCACACTTTCTCTACAGACACCTGTTAACTGCACTGTCTGCCACAAGACTATAAGCCGCAAGGCAGATCTTCCAAGACATATGCGGACGCACGATGATCACAAGGAAGCTCTGTATGTGCTTGCGCCCTATTATACCACATGGTTTCTGACCTGTTTACTATCTTGATCAGTATGCATGCATGCCCGTTCTTTGACTGCGATTACAAGACCCTCCAAAAGTCCAACATGCAAACACACATCAGAACGCACACCGGTGAACGCTCCAAGATATGCCCTCACCCTGGGTGCGCGTTTGCCACCACAGATCCAGGCAGTTTGACACGTCACCGCAAGAGACTACACGACTACCAACCCAAAGCGCGTTGCAACCTCCTGGTGGCAAAGCTGCTCGACGGACCGCTGTCGCGCCTTACCCCTCCACTCGATTTATGAAGCCAGAGGTAGAGATACCTGCATCGATGGATCTCAATGACCTAGCATTTCCCGAGAAAACGCTCCTTGGACCCTTACCAAGTGGCACCCCTCAAGGGCCCCGGAAAAACAAACACCAACACTGCGCCCAACGGCGTCAGAGGCGTCAACAACGCCTAGAACAGCTCATCACTTCTCTTACTACCTAAGACCCGCTAGCTTTAATATACATACTACACACACAAAACAAAAAGACAACAAAACACAGGTGAAATGGCGCCAACATTAACGCCAACCCAAAACAATCAAATAAACAATAACCATGTAACATCATCAACTGCGACGAGAAGCCGAAAAACTACAGCCGACAAGCCCCTTCTATCCATAAGCAAAGAAATAACTGAACATATCATAGGCACAGATGTAAGATCCACAATCAAAGACAGCACAACTGCGAAAAAACTGCTACTATCGCACCCTTGGCACCACTTTCCTCCCGTTCCCAGGGTCTAAGAGACCCGGTTTCCTTGTAGAGCGCAACTGGTCTGTGAGACCCCCCCTCTCGCGAGGTCATGAGACCTCTCTGAGTATTGTGAGTACCTCTCCCCTCGTGTAACCTCTGTTGTCAGTCTCGGTGCTCCCGCTCCCCCTCTTGGCCCTCCCCTAGTAGAGGCTTCTGCGAGACCTCTACATAGCCTCTGTCAGTCTCAGTGCTCCCGTTCCTCCTCTTGGCCCTCCCCTAGTAGAGGCTTCTGCGAGACCTCTACATAGCCTCCTCACCCTCGTCCACCCTCCTCTGCACCTCTAAGTGCTCCTTGATAGTAGATACTCGTGTGTATGTTTTTTTACTATATTCGTATGTCATAATACTATTCCCTGCACGATGCGCCCAACAATTAAGCACTTATATTTGACTCATTTCACCCAAGGAGATCACTCATGTAATAAGTCAACAAACAACATGTTTATTTTCAGCGGCACAAAACATACATTGCGAGAGATGGAACATGGTATGGTACGAGGGGAAGACAGCGGGAACAGCATGATTTTCGCAGCAAGACAATAGGCACCTCACAATTACCTTCGAATGGCGGCTCCTTCACGTTGTTCTTGCTCTGTCACCTGACCAGGTAAGGTGAGTGACATATTGGCAATGGGACTCCGGGTACTGTGGCGTCCATCTCCTCGAGGAGGCTGGCGCTGATATGCACGCTCGTAGCCAGCATGACCCTCGCGATTTGTGGGATGCATGTATTCTCCACGAATATCCAGTGGGGGAGGTCCACGCAAGCGGTCATCAAGAAGTTCACGGTCTGGGTACCGCGCATCACGATAGTATGATCGCCCATACCCGGTGGCATCACGATAGCCTGTGCTCCGGTCGCCGTAATACGGATACTCCCTGTGATAAGGGTAGTCTCCTCCTGGTTGTGGTCGTCTGGTATACGCATGTCGGTCTAAGTCCTCGTGGTACATGTACGCACTGCGTGGATCATCGTTGGGGTGGCGACGGTCATCAAGTAGTGCAGGAGAGTTGTCTCGGCGAGGGTGCAGGTCACGGCCATCATTGAGTGGGAGGTCGTGGATGTCGTTTGCGTTACGAGCCTCCCATGATTGACCGCGATTGTGAGGACGCCAATTGTCGTGAGGCTCGCGCAAGTGTGTGTTGTCTGCCCCGCGTGGGTCAGCATGGTGAGAGTCTGGTACATTGTGGCCAGAAAGTGAGGGGCTGAGATGTGTGTCCTCCGATGACGAGTGCAGCAGATTTTGAGGTAGTGGGAGAGGGGCGTCTGGGACAAGGACAGACTGCCCATCATCTGGTGCAGGCTCTGCAGGGTGATCTGAGTCGTGTGCGGGAGATGGAACTGCCGGAAGAGTAGGTGTTTCTGATGAATGATCCGCAGAGGTCTCGGGGTGTACGGCTCCATCGTTGTTCCGCAAGTCTTCGTCTTCTTGCAGGAGACACATGGCCTTGGTCAGAACAGGTTGCCTTCCCTTAGGCACGGGACGTGGACGTGGCACTGGGCTCGTGTTAGTATGTTTTAACATGTATGAGTAGCAAATACCTTTTTGAACATCAGGAGGTCCATCGCGAATGCGCTTTGCTGCATTGTCTGTATAGTCATAAGTCAGGATCACAGCCGAACTGCGATAATCATAGAAGACTCACCTATAGCAGGACGTGATTGTTGTTCGTCCCCTGAGGATTCCACCATGACAGGAGACGAGTGCCCTCCTTTGGCGCGAGCTTTGCCAGCAGCCTTCGCACTTGGCTTCTTCCCGATGACCATCTTCCCTTCTGACTCCTCGATCGATCGTACACGTTTCTTCGTAGCTTGCGCACCACCTCCAGCCTTCAACTTCCGCTTCCGCGAGCGTAAATCATCATAGTCCTCATCATCCTCACTGGGTATCTCGCGATCAGAACCATTGAGAGGCTCCTCCTCCTCCTCATCATCATCATCAAGCTCGTCAACACCATCTGGACTGGACCGGACTTCTATCACATCTGGTTTGTCAACCTCTGTCACAACCGGTTTGGCAGGGGGGCGCTTCGCAAGCTTGAATGGACGTGATGGAGGAGGTATAAGTACTTCAGGACGCATTTTGGTTTTGCGGTGCATGGCAGTCGTAGAGTCCATAGCTGCGATATCTGTGTCGCCATCAGTCTGTGTACGAGATGAGGGGACCTTCGACTTCTTCTTCCTGGTTGTGGCAGAGCTAGGTTGAAGGCGTGCAGGGCCTTTATAATCAAAAGTCCCGTTAACGAACATGCGCCTCGCGTTCGGAAAGGGAGAGTCTGCAGGAGGTGCCTCGCCAATGATGACGGGCTCCTTGGAGGCTATCACAGCAACTGTCGAGGCATCATGAGTTAAAGTGATTTCAAAAGGCTGTAGCACGTACCTCCAATGGCTTTTGTTACTTTGACAACGCGCATTGTCTTTGCCTTCAATGCGAGTGCGAGTACATTGACCTCGCGTTGCGTGAGCCCTGCAACACCTTTACTCCGTGAATTACTGTTGTGAGACTCTCCTGGCATCAAACTTAAGTGCGCGGGGTACCCCTCAATATGTAGGTGATCATTAGTGAGTGAGCTAGGCATCAATATCCATGGGAAGGGTCTATCCGAAAACTTGCCACCGAGGTCTGCTGGGGAAAATTGTCAGTATCTCACTGTGAGATGTGATGTGCTACGAACCAACTTGTTTGACTAGCCCAGCCTTGAGCGACTTTGATGCATCCTTCTCTTCGCCTACATCAGACGAGCTCACATCCAAGACCTCTATCGGTGTCTGCTCCTCGTCCCCTTCAGTGGTCTTGAAGGTCTGTTCCACGGCAGCAAGTGACATAGTATTGTAAACATGGGCTTTCATGTGCCCGATGATGACATGGTCACTGGCTCGGCAGCGCCTGTCGAAGAACTACAGAGAGTATTAAAAATTGTGAGAAACGAAGAATTTCGAGGTCGGTGACACTTACGCCACCAGCACCAGGCGTCATGTGAACATGGCCGAGTGATGCATCTTCGTTGACAATATTGCCACACATGACCAGGGCAGCCTCAAAACCTTGCCTGGTAGCAGCTCCGTCAAGCTGCAGGTAGGGCACTCAGCTCGTCAACAAAATATTACAACAACCTATCACTCACGATGCTTCCTACCCTCCTGGTAAGCTTCTGAAATGTTTGTGTGCGCTGCGCGATGGTTTGAGGAGCATCTGACAGCATGTTGAGTTCTTCGTAGGTATCGAGGATATCCTGATAAGAATCTGGGTAGGTGTTTTTGAAGTGCTCGTAGCACTGACGGCGAATACCAGTGCCTATAAAATCAATAATCAGCATGGAGTGAATAGCGTGCAGAAAAAACGGATCATTTACTTGGTGTCATCGAACCATCCTGGGGAGGAGCATCTTCACCGAGCCTTGCAAGTTCCTGGCGCATGCGGTCCTTGAAGTACCCCGCATAAAGGTTCCAGTAGTTGGTGTTATTGATTGCTCGACCTCGACTCTTCATCCACAGGCTGATTACCTGGTGGGAGGGCATGTTCGTATTCTTTGCAGTGTCAATGACAACGGCATCCAACACAGTGAAACCTTCTTCAAGCGCAGAGTTTGTCTCTATTGAACGTCGACCAGCAACAGGTGCACTGTCATCATCCATTGCAAAATCAGACTCGACACGAGATCCGCTGGTTGACGGACTGAACGTCACTGCGCGGTGACGTGGCCCACCGGCAGCAGGCGGAGCCAAAAATTCTCCAGGCTTGATGGGAGTCGGCGGGATGATATATGTCGTTGGTAAGGAGTTCACCGGCGCTATGGACGAAAAATTCCAGGGCCCATCTTGCGAACCTCCCTGAGAGCTTTGACCTGCAGGCATGAGAAGAGGTGAGGTCGGTAACTGAGAATACGAAGCCAGCGGGCTAGGTGAGAGTCTGGGAATTTCCGCAGACCACAAAGACTGGGCCTCGGACGGCATTGTGAGGAGGTTAAAAGGACCCATGGAGCCATACTGGGGCTGCTGGTGCTGCTGCTGGCCAGTGGGTGCCAAAGTGTCAGCAAATAGATCTTCCACCCGCACAGGGTGCTGAGCAGGCACATCCTCGACCAGAGGAGAGTCATGGCGGCTATTTGAAATAGAGTGCATGGAATCTAGCAGCAAAGGTAAAGTCAGACGTCTGGTAGAAAAGTTTCGATAAAAAATTACCAGAAATGACACTGGGAGTGCAGGCTGCTTGACGTCGAATAGCAGCATCCCTCGCAATACCAACGTCCCGTGCTGTTGGCTTGATTGTGCTCCGCAGTCTTGATGGAGTGAGCTCTGTTGGCGTGTCCTTGTATCGACCACCTCCAAACTGTTCTTGGACATATCCTTCCTGCACGTATCCAGAGCCTGTAGTAGCAGACAACGATGCAGGAAGGTATGTGGGAGGTGAGGACGCCCGGTCATCCGGAGGGTCAGAGTAGTATTCTGATAGCTTAAGCAACATGGCCTTCGCGCAAAATCAGAAAAAATTGATATGTAACAATGAAATCCCTTACCTGACTTGCTGATGCAACTGGGAATCCTGTAGGCGAGCGAACAAAAAAAAAAGTCAGGCCTCATACTTATGGTAAATTTTACTGTGTGCGAAGTCCTTGATTTCATTCAGACAAATCAAGTAAGGACAACCGGCAGGAGTATAGAAGCGAATATCAACGCACGAGACATCGTGGAGGTCCACCAAGGAGGGTGCAGAGGGTGATTTGGTAGGCCTATTGGAGGCTTCAGAGGCTCCAGAGCGGTCTTGGAATGGATTGACTAAAGGCCGCGCAGAGGAAGCAATAAAATTGAAACCTTATTTCATATCCAAGACAATGGGATGTCAGAATTGGGTTAGAAATTCAAGCATGAACTACGTACATGTGCTATTTACATTTGATGTTAGGATAGACTCTTGATCAACGCCTAAGGCGCTTCACAGGGCGACTATCAATCTCGCTAACTTGGGACTCCTCGTCTTCATCGTCGTCATTGTCAGCACTGTTGTAATATTCAGAGCCGGATGTTCCACCCTTGACTGAAGTGATGGGAGGGATAAGGTTACTGGTGCGGGTGACAGATGGTTTGCGGACCGCTCGAGAAGCTGGGCGGGGTGGTGGCCGTGTGATTTCCACAACGACTTGGGCACGACGACGGGAGGAAGGTGTAGAAGGAGGCAGATGAAGACGGGGAAGACGGGGAAGACCCTTTTGGTCAATGCGGCCGTCAGCAAACGCACGTCGCCCACAGGAGTGCATGGAGCAAGCTAAGGGGGCCTCTCCAATGACAACGGGGTCTTTTGAGGTGGTGAGACGCATACGGGCAGCATCACTCGTAACTGCTCGGATGGTTAAGGTGCCTGTCTTGAGGTGATTGATGATGTTGGCACGATGGCGTTGGTTGAGATCGTGGATGCCTTTGGTGCGACAGAAAGTGGATCGCAGCTCACCGGGCATCAAGGTCTCATCAGGGTAATTGACAAGAACATACCCGAGGCGAGCTAGTTCTTTCGGGAGTGATTTCCAGGGGAAGTCAGCACCTGTGCGCCCACGCAGTTCCCCGCCAAGTGATGCTGAAATAATGTTAAGATTAGTGCAGATGTATGGCGATTGTTCTTACCAACAAGCGCCCTTATCCCACCCATGATACAGGGTATCCCTTCGAGGCTCTTCCAAAGTTCTTCTTCAGGGAGTCGGGAGCCTTCGCTAAGTTCAGCATCCTCTGTCGACACAGAGGCATCCACAAACTAGAAACAGGTCAGCAAAATCTGAACATCTAACTACCAGTACTCACAATCCGAGTGACAGAAACATGTTGCAAGTCTGTGAGCGTGGCGGCATCGACGAGGTGCAATGATCTTGATGTACCATGTTGCGAGTCCGTGAGCGTGGCAGCATCGACGAGGCACAATGATCTTGATGTAGTACTGCTGGACGCGGCCATTTTGCAGGAGGCGGTGTCACGATAAACGAAGTATCAAAGTACCAGCTGTAGACACTAGTCAGTGATCAATGAATAATGTGTAAACCATGGGCGAAAGAAAACTTTCGAATCAGGCCGATTACAGTAAGTTCGAAGAAGCTCAATGTTGCAACACATTGAAAATCGTACCTTGAAGAAGCACAGGGTCGGTGTCAATTGTGACAGCATGTTCTAGTGCCTGCTCATTTATGGAGGCCAAGAAGGCTGCAAGAGCCTCCTGCGAGAGCCTCTTGCAAGACCTATCATGAGAAGGCCTGGTGGGATTTCAAATACAAAGAGCCAAGGGGAGCGTCAATACTGAAAGTGAATTGCATGCGCTTAATAGTTCTGGGGCGGGAATTCTGGACCATGACAAGGGTGGTGTTGAAATTGAGCTACACTATGAACAATGTCTATCTACACTACGCTGAGATCGAGAACGAGGTGATATAGCAATTGCCGGAAGCCCTCCATATCATCCTCGTGCAGGCCTGTAGAATGAAAACCTCGTAAGACTGCCATAATTGCAGCTAGTACCCAAACTCCGCAGTCATAGCCATTCGTCTGCAGAGGTTCGAGCTAGAAAATGTAGTTAGCGAGGGCTCAGATTTCATGACAGATCAATTTACAATAAGGGGACGAGCTACCCATCCTTGAAGATCGAATGATACTGCAGGGTGGCGTTGACGTGCAATAGATAGTAGACGAGACACAAGTGTCATAATGGCCTACATGGATGATGTCAATGTTTCCGCCTGTGCCATGATAAGTAGCTGAGCCTCACCTTGATGTCATGTTGCCATGGCCGCTTTTCAGCAAAACTATCGAAAAGATGAAGCTCCTTGGAGGATCGGCAAATAACACAGAGTACCCAATGACCAACAGGCACTGGCCGATGAATAGGCAGAATCCAAATGTCCTTCTCCCAATAACGTGTCCACGAACTTTGACGCCAGAGCATCTCATCAGCTGCGTTGTATCTGATGCGTGGGAGGTCATGAGTAGAGAGAATGGCAATGCGCTGCGCTACAGGGATGGACATCTGGGAATCATGCAGCAAGATTGCGCAGCCATTGAGGCATACATCGTTGAGACGGGCAGTCGAGGAACCAAGGAAGGAGATATCCCTTGGATCAAATATTTGTCGTGGGAAGCCATGGCGAGAGGGCCATATCCTAGTTGCTGCACCTGGCCCTTGCACAGTGATGCGCAGATCCTTGCGGGGCACAGGTGTTTCATCAATTTGAAGTACCTGCGAAGGGTGTCAAAATGGTAAGGAAGGTAGCAAATGGTAATGTACCTCCGGAACCGCCCAACAGATGGTGACATCAGCTTTTTCCGCTTCGTCAATGTCTTCTATGTCCTCGTCAGCAATAGCATCTTCCTCGAGGAAGTCAGAGAATGCGATTTGATGGGCGTCGATACTTGATGCTGGCCCTGCTTCAAAGTCTGGGATATCATCTTCTTGGTGATCAATTGCCAGTATTGGAGGGTTATGTATCCAACTAAGGGAGGCTTTGGTTGCACCTCGTGTGAGTGTCTTTGCGAGATCTGTAGCTACTTTGACACGATCAGAAAAGCGAGCCACAGAGGCAAATGGATTTTCCCAGCGTGATCGAAGTTGAAGAAGGTGGTCTCGACGGGTCCGCAGTGAGAATATGAAAAGTTCGTCTATTGACATCATCAGAAAATGGCAGAATAAAGCACTAGACTCACTTACTCGCATCAGAGGAAAGAGCAAGCTCTAAAGCAGCGAGCTCGTCTCCAAAATATCGGCACAAGTTGTCAGCTTCAATACTGAGCCGTTGCCGCTCCTCTTGACATCGATCATGCTTGAGGAGGGCGCGGATTCCATCTCTCACATCTGAATCGTCTAACCAGCGTGGTATGTCTCCTGCAGACGGTGCGATCCAAACGTCCTCCATTAGAGCTTGGTCGTTGCGTAGATCCGCTAGTTTAGTTGGAAGTGCCATCGGGAGTGGTATCCCCCATGAAGGGTCGTAGAGAGTGTCTAGGTGCTCACAATAAGAGTTGAACTTACGAATTGCTGTCATCAGGGCTGGTTGTCTCTTGGCTATTGCTTTACGAGTTTGCTGGTGAAGCTTGGTGCCTAATATGTTGAGATTAGTCCAATGTGCCTTTGATCTGGTTTAGTCTCACCTAACGCTTGCTGAGCACCACCAACTGCCCTATCGAGTTTATCCCACTCGAAGAAACTACCGATTGCCCGTTTGTGTATGTTGATCTTGAGGTCGCGGGCCATCAGGAGGGTGCGGACAAAATCTAGGTTGACGCCCTGAAGCTCTGGAAACCTGTCGTGGATATTCAGTGAAGCGTATAGCGCTTCGACCTTGTCCATGAGACGTTGATGCCCCCTCTCGAGACCTTCGAGAGCACTCAGGGTATCATCTGAAGGTGCCTCCTTTTCAAGCATGGTGCGGGTAGCCTGCAACGCCCGATCTGAAGTATCCATATCAGATTGTAGCGCAAGCACTGTATCCAGTTCCTTTTTGAGACGCGCAGGAGCGTCTTATAAAAAACTAATCAGTTAAACTAACACGAGAATAGTATGTACCAGTACTTACGAGCACGCACAGAGAGTTGTGCACGCCGCTGATCAGCCCACAGTGACCGTAAATCTTCAATCGAGACACCACAGTGATTAAGAATGTCCTCGGTGGTATTGACTTGAGTCTTGATGCCACGAAATCGTCGCTTGATCCAGTCACCGAGGTCTGTGCACATCTCAGCTCCGATGGAGGCTGCCTGACGGTCTATAAGCCACAGACGCCGTTGGCGCTGAAATGTGCCAGAATAAATTGAAATATATATGTGAGATTGAGAATGGAGATGTGCTTACCGATGATGACCGCTCAATACCGATTAGACGAATGAGTCGCGACCAAAGTCGCTCGGTACCTTCTCCGTCTGATAGACCCATTCCAACGCACATCCGGGGATTATAGACAAGTTGACATCCCCACTCGTGGCCATACACGTGCATGGCAGTTGTTGCAAAGCGGAGGCGTGAAGTAATAGAAACATCTAGAATATGATACTGCAGAATGTTAGGGATACACATCACTCAAGTTACAAAACATACCTGTGAAAGTGAGCGAGCTAGTACGCAGCCAACATCGTATAGAGCAATAACTGTTGCCTGTGTGGGGAGAAGTGAGAACAGATGTTCTAGTAAGGCAACAGAGTACTTCTGCTGTTCGCCGGGTGTATCGATGTTTGTAAAGAATAGGGGAATGTCGTGACGGCAAATGAGTGCCATCAAACCAGTGTCGTCAAAGCTTTCCATGGCAGTCTTCTGCTTTTTCCCATCAGCGGCTTCGTAGGACTGCTCGCACTGGTCAATGGCCTCGTTAGGTACAATAGGAGTATGTGTCGTAGCAGGGCGCTTCCGATTCTTATGTATCCGAGAGCCAACTTGATCGACGTACGTCTTTGGTAGGAAGTATGATGGATTATAGAAGTGAGGGCAGTCGCCCGCTGAGCGGCAGTGACGATGATGAAAGTTGCCGTCTGTGGCGACATGAATGTCACCTCCTTGATCGAGGGGTCTGCCAAACAACACTCCTGCAAAACAAGCGGGACAACGCTCAACCAGGATTGATGCACAGTGTTCTCTGTGTAAGTGGGACTCGGATCGAGCCTCTTGGGAGGTATCAAGGGTGTTGGGCATGAGGACAGGATGTACCTCGCGGACCTCTTGAGAGGGATGTACCTCGCGGACCTCTTGAGAAGGATGTACCACGCGGACCTCTTGAGAGTTTGTTGCAGGATCACAAACGGGTGGTGAGGGCTCACAGGAGGCTCGGATTCGGTCACGAGCTTGTTGGATTGCTTCTTCAATTGTCCGCTCCACCTTGACGTGCAGAATGTCGTACCACTGAACTGCATGTCCAAGACTTCTTCCTGAATGGTTCCTGGATGATGTTTCCCTGTGTAGTTTAGAGTTAGGGTTATTCTTGGATTTGAATATATAAACTTACATGTTCGTCAGTTGACTGGAAACCCCGCCGAGCGTAATGAGTTTTCAATGTGGCTGCAAGTGCGTTGACTGCATCACACGAACGCTCAAATAGCGCTCGATAAAAGGAAAGAAGTTCGATGGAAACCGCTATCCTTGGAAGCAAGGGCGCGGTTGGGAATAATCCGTGGAGTATAAGGACTTGGGAAATTGTTGAGCAATTACAGCTCAGGACCTCAATCGAGACAAATCCTAGTGTTGAATTAGTAAGGCCAGTGAATGATAAGAAGCCTAGCTACACTTACGATCAAAAAAGAGAGAAACGATGGATGAGCGCTTTTGAGCACATGAATTAACTGCACACGCAGATATGATAGAAGGCGACTTCTCAAGTGGCTGACCGACCGTTCTCGCGAGATAATTAAGGAGAGGTTTGATTAAGGTGGGGATCACACCTTGCCAATTTCCATAGAGTGTTCGTGACGCTGTAGAGAGTGATATCTCTACAGGCTCGTATTCCCTGATTTCTACATCGACCTCATCCCTATCCACAGGTGGGCGCGACTTTCCCGCGACCTTCCGCACCTTCCGCGCACTTCCCGCGCTCGCGCTCAGCGCGCGCTTTCCCGCGCTTCCTCCGATCCATCCATCCATTGTCTATTCGGTCCATAGGTGCGTATTACATACATATATTGGTTTTCTGACATCCACTGTCTCATTACATACATCTGTGACATTCCTCGGCCGCGTTCCCGCGCTTCCGCGCTCCTCGGCCGCTTTAGGATGCTTTTCGGTCGCTCTTCGCTAGCTATCCTCTATATCTACTGGGCCTTCTGACAGAAGGTTCCGGACTGAGTTACCCATTAGAGATTTGTACTATGCCTTAGAGCGCACCTATCTACAGCTAGGAGTCATATTCTCCTTCCCTTATCAGTCTATATTCATAAGACATTCGCTTGATATCCATTCCTCGCGTCCTACACGATCCTAGACATCCTTCCGCACTTGCGCTCTACGAGCGCCGCGTTCCCGCGCGTTCCGCGCTTTCTGCGCATTTCCCGCGCCCTCCGCATACCTCGCGCGTTCCCGCGCTTCGAGCGCACTTAGTCGCCTGACTTCCGCCTGACTCAGCTTCCCCTAGAGGTCGAACATATCGCCCTCACATCAGAGCAGATTCCTCCAAGTCTGTTCGTTGTACCCACAACGCCTTGTCAGGGAGTGTGCGCCGCTGGAGCTGAATGAGCTGTGTGTTCGCTTGTAGTTTATCATGAGGGGGTGGATGTTGAAGCTCGGGCACTGGACAGTCCGATTCGTACACCCATTCATCGTCGTTCGAACTGCCTATAATTGCGGTCGGATCCATGTTTGAACTGCTGGGATTGAATACAGAAGCAGCCTCTGGTAATGTTGGATTGATAAGAGCTTGCATGCGTAGGGCGAGCTGGCGGCATTTGACATCTGCGCCTGGGATATTCACAAATGTTTGCGTTTTTTTCTTGTCTCGGGACTTGCGTGGACTAACAAAGTGTTTCCCAAGTCCCCGTCCAGAGGATGACACTTGCTCTGCACGGCGCATTCTGATTCAAGAGTGGTGGATGAGCTACTGCTACAATAAAACTACTAAGTGCCAGTAGAACAGAAGGCCACGCATATGCAGCATGGTACTTACCCCCAACCCAGCGTGGAAGTGCCCCTATTAAGTGGAAAGACCTACTGAGAGGTGCGGGTAGCTATTGAGAGCACTTCTGAGTAGGACTAGAGGGCTATTGGAAGGTATGGGTAGCTATTGGGAGGAGTATTGAGAGGCGCCGTGTAGGTATGTATTTCATTTCTCACGCGATCTAAAATTAGAAGGCGGGAGGGGGGGTCTCACAGACTAGTTGCCGCCAACATAGAAACTGGGTCTCTTAGACCCTTTATAGGCACTGAGAAGTGCTGCCTGAGGTGTACTATCGCACGGACTCAATCTCCCAACAGCCTGCAACGAAATCAAACAAATAGCTCATTCTCTCCTGGAATTTAGTATCATCACCAATCTAGGAGCAACTAACTCAGACATACTTAGAGCAATGGCCATCGTACTCATCGAAGCTGAGCAAAACCTCGACATGGCAAAACTGATAGAAAAAATAGACGCACTCATTCAAGGACCGATTGCGCAACTCGAGGAGAAAGCAGAAGAAATAGCAGAAGCAACAGAAATGCACAAAAACGCACTAGAAAGCGCAGTATCAGAGCTACGTGGCAATCTACACATCTCATCAGAAAGCATCGAAAAAATAGTAACAAATGCCACGAGGGCATCGCAAATAGAGAATCAAATCGAACCAAGGGCAGAACGACCTAACGGGTCACAGTCATATGCCAGCGTCGTCAGAAACGAAGCCCCCCCCCAACTAACGAAAATCTTAGCCCGCAGTGAAGCCCAAGCCAAACAGATACTCATCGACAAACGAACATACGGCGAAGTAGACTCGCTCAGAGGACTCACGGAGGCGGAACTCGTTGCCAAAGCAAAACTAACAATAGAACTGGTAGAAAGAGACGGAACAGCAATTCCACCCAACATCGACTTCTGCTCAGCAAGACGCTTACCCCACGGAGGAATCCTCCTTGAACTCAACACCGTTAAATCAGCACAGTGGTTCGACACTCCAGCCAACCGAGGAGCATTCATCGCCAATTTCAGCCACAATGTAACCATCAAGGACCGATCATACAATGTACTAATCGAAAACATCCCTGTCACCTACAACCCCGGATCAGTGCAAGCCAACACGGAGATCGAAAAGAGAGAAGGACTCAAACCAGGAACGATAACGAGATCGCGATGGATCAAACCGGTGGCCCGATGAAACGAAGGACAGAGAACGGCACACGCTATTATCACACTCAAAACAAAAGAAGGCGCCAATCAACTCCTTCGATTTGGAGCCTCAATAGAGGGGAAAAAGGTATTCGGAAGAAAGCTACTACCAGAGCCCACCCGTTGTCTCAAATGCCAGTCTTTCGGAGGATCCCACGTCGCCGCAGAATGCAAACAAGAAAACGATGTATGCGGAACCTGCGGGGCTAATCATCGCACGGCGGAATGCAGAGTAGATGACCCAAACCTATATTATTGCGCTAACTGTAAAGTCCAAGGACATACCTCGTGGAGCAGAAACTGTCTGACATTCATAGAGAAGTGGGAAAGCCACAAACGACGTTCAGAAGACTCAAGATACCGATACTTCCCAACCTCCGATCCTCTCACGTGGGAAACCCTCAGTAATGAAACAGAACAGCGACGAGAGCCACCTGAAAACGCAACATGGAACCAACAAGCGACGGACCTCAACACTCACGGCAACTATGGGCGACTCCAGCTAGCACTACCAACCCGAGGAAAGGACAGCCAACAACAAAACAACGACAGACGACAGACGAAAGGACAACACAGCCAGATCAACCCCAACCGCATCCCCATTGGAACCCAAGCCCAGCTTATGGACAACTGGCTGAATACCCGAAACAACGACGATCCCAGCAAACGAACGGTACACTACGAACTCTCTCCCTCACCGCACCCCACTACCCCCCTCTGGTATCCGTCCCCAACCCCAGAACCCAACACTGAAAGATCTACCCCCACAGGCTTTGACTAAATGCAGAACAACACTAACAAACAACCCCCCAAGACAGACTTCAAGATCTGGCAACAGAACTTACGCAAATCCTCAAGCGCATGGGAACACATGCTCAAAAACCTCAACCCGAACACCTACGACCTCGCATGTATACAGGAACCGTTCCTCAACCAAGTAGGCCTTGCAAACGCATCGAACTTAAGAAGATACTGGGACGTCATCTACCCATCAAACCATAACGCCAACCCCGCACGATCTCAATCCATTCTACTAGTCAACAAAAAACTCTCCAAAAACAACTGGCACATAGTACCACTAGACACTCCCAACATAACAGCAATCGAGCTCAACCACATACTTCAGTCATTTCTTTACGTAGAACCCCTGCCCCGGATGTGCCAAAAGGTCGTAGAATCATGGCTAGCCAGTCCCCGGCCGGTGCATGTAGGATAAGTGCTGGCCGGTGTACTATCTTATTATCACTTCTGTATCATTATTTCATGTAGGATTGGTGCTGGCCGAGGTATTATAGGCCAATCTCTTGTATGTAGTATCAGTGCCGGCCAGTCTATAATACTATAACCATCTCTTTTGTCTTGTATGTAGAATGAGTGCCGGCCGATATATCATATGACATATACTAGCCATAAGATCAAGCTGGCTGGTATATGTAGAATATATCTACTGCAGTCTGATTTCATTAGTAGACTGGCCAGCTTGTATCTACGTGGGTAGGAGCATGGCTGGCCAGTGCATAGTCCTTAAGTTAATATACTGGCCATTGAGTGTACTAACCATAGGATCAGGCTGGCTAGTATATGTAGTCATTGGTGAACCTGCCAGTCTGTATATACATATGTAGGAACATGGCTGGCCGGTTTGCTTATGTTTCACTAGCAGACCGGCCAGCATGGTCCTACATGTGTAAGAACATGGCTGGCCAATTTGCCAATATTTCACTAGCATGGCTGGCAAGTTTGCTTATAATTCACTAGCAAACCTGCCAATTTGCTTATATTTCACTAGCAAACTGGCCAGCTTGGTTTTACATGTGTAAAAGCATGGCTGGCCAGTTTGCTTATATTTCAATAGCAAACCGGCCAGCATGGTTCTACATATGTAAGAACATGGCTGGCCAGTTTGCTAATATGTCACTAGCATGGCTAGCCAATTTGCTTATATTTCACTAGCAAACTGGCCAGCTTGGTCCTACATGTGTAAGAGCATGGCTGGCCAGTTTGCTAATATTTCAATAGCAAACCGGCCGGCCTGGTGCTACATATGTAAGAGCATGGCTGGCCAGTTTGCTAATATTTCAATAGCAAACCGGCCGGCCTGGTGCTACATATGTAAGAGCATGGCTGGCCAGTTTGCTTATATTTGACTAGCAAACCGGCCAGCCTGGTTCTACGTGTATAAGAGCATGGCTGGCCAGTTTGCTTATATTTGACTAGCAAACCGGCCAGCCTGGTTCTACGTGTATAAGAGCATGGCTGGCCAGTTTGTAATATTTCACTAAGAAACTGGCCAGCCTGGGTCTACATATTTAAGAGGATGGCTGGCCTGTTCGCAGTCCTTAAGTTAATACTGCCCAGTAGGTAGACTTAGGGCATCTCATTCAATGTGCAATTTGCAGGAGTGTGGGTATAATATATCAAGGTACAAATCCACACCCATTGAAAGCCTTCTCAGCATCCTGAGCAAACCTTCCCCACATCAAGACCTGTTGATAAGCATAGGCTTGATGACCAGGTCTAGTCGCTGGCTGCCACCTTCTGTTCCATTCTTTCTGGTGATACTTGAACCAGTTTATGGTCCAACCCATTTCATGTCTTACCAGACTCAACTCCTCCTGCCATCTACTCCATCTAGCCTTTGCCTTCAACCAGTTGACCCTATAGACTAAATCAGAGTGAGTTGAAGTGACTTGCACTTGAGATGAAATTTTGTTCTTACATTCATCCATCCAAGCATCTTCTTGCCCTTCGTTGGTATTATTCACCCTCCAAAACCAAGCCAGTCTGTCTGACCCTTGACCAAATCTATTTTCTTCTGTCACCTCTTTGTCTATACTCAGTTCGGTGGGCAATATTTCTCGATAAATACTGCCCAAGGTAGCTTCGTCCATGCCTAGATGTTGCATTGCTGACCTTGCCCTCTGATAGCTTCTTACATATTTGTCAATTTTGAGCTGACATCGACGAGCTTCTTGCTTCGACCTGGTGCCAGCCCACGTAGAATCGGCACTTCGAAAATACTGACGATAAATAAGGGCCTTGTGACCGAGAGCCATATGAAGGTTTTCTAGGCAGTCGTTGGCTTGGCCTTTTCGAAGTTCCAACTCTTCAGCTTGAAGGGGGCCCAGCCCAAGAGTCAATCTGTTGTGTCGAGAAGTCGAAGATGGCATCCAGATACCCATCTCTTCTGTGAGGATTTCTTCATCTATATCCTCTGAGATCTCTTCATCTAAAACCTCCACCCACTCATTACCATCGTTATCTGTACGACAGAATCTAGGATCGTCAGAATGCACTGTTCCAATATCAAGATCCATGCCAGCAGTCATAGCATCGGCAGTTTCATGAAATTTGGCAATCCTAGCTGCCAATCTCTGTCTCTTTTCTGCTATAGAAGCTTTCTGAGCAGAGGTTGCATCATTAGGAAGTTGTCGTATGTTCGCTCTCAATGCATCCCTAAAATAGCTCTTTGTCAAGCGATTCTGTTGTTCCAATCAAATTGATTACGTACTGTAAATCCTCCAGATTGATACCAGTGATGAGCCAAGATACTGTTCCTGGAAGTCTGTCGTCAACGTTCTCAGACTCGGTTAATTTGAGCCGAATCTCTGCCATAGTTGGGGCTGAACTCAGTTCCAGATTAGATGTCTTATAAGCCTCAGACAGAGCTCACTTACCTTTGTTGATCTGCAACTGGTAGATGTCAAGATACTCCCCACGTTCTTCCACAGCCTTTTTCTCATCAATTTCCCACATCAAAATCTTCCCAGGATTCAGAGACTGGGCCAGTTCATCAAAAGGAGATTTTGTCTCATCAACGCCTTTGAGAGCACGTTTATACTTGGTCAAGAGAGTCTTCGCTAGAATTTTAAGTGTCAAGCACAGTTTTAGATATACATGATTGAAGTGCTTACTTATTCCAACTATTTTTTTCCAGTTTGAGTCTCTCATATGATCATCAAGAACTTCTTGGCGATGAGCATGACTCATTGACCGAGCAGTTGGGGAAATCTTATTGAATGGTGCCCATAAGGTCTCCAAAATCTCCCCATCAACATGTCCAGCACCTTGAACAAAGTTGAGGCTGTACCTTGCAAAGCAAGCCAATTTGTGAGCGCTGAGATGGAATTTTCCAACCGCAGGGATGATCTGCATATTTTCTGGTACGGATAAGCCTTGGCTCTCAGCCACTCTCTGTAAAAAATTAATACTCCACTGACACCCCACATCATAAATAATGAGAGAGGAGTCTATATCAGCCGAATGATAATTCAAAGCATTGCATATTGAATAGTCAATGTTCATGTGTCTAAACATCTCATGAGCTCACTTGTTAAACATGCTGTTTAGGAGGATGTACAGACCTTTCGCCCTTCTGAAAATCAACTATGCTGTGTGGAACAAAGCATCCATGTCGGGCACAGGCAGTTGCTCCTACCCCTGTTGCTCGAAGATTACTCCTGCTGATATTTGCAGTGTTGATTGCTCGGTGATTGCTACAAGAAGAGCGCTATACAGGCTGTCAAGCAAAGTCAAATACCCTTGCTAAAAGTCAACTCACCTCCTTACTTTCGACAGCCAATGAGAGATGAGTCTGATATTCTCTCTCTTTCACCATATAACCAAGACCATCTGAAAGACTAATGTCTAACTGTGGCTTTTGCATAGTCATATGTTGAGCAGTAAAGTTTCCATCCACAACGAATCTTTGCGAAATGAGCCAACTGTGTAAAGAATAAGTATAAGTTCAATGAATGAGGTCAAATAAATAGAAGGTACAGCTAGCCAAGGCTTGCATACTTGTGTCTGTACAGTGTCGACTGACAATGTATTATCTGAGGTCAGCCGGCCGGAATGGTTCTACGTCCTGTCTATACAGTCCTGGCCAGCCAAATACAATATCAGAGTTTGGCCAGCCGGCCCAGGTCTACAGCCTGTCTATACAGTACTGGCCAGCTTTGTCAGAAACTAAGCCAGCAAGGCCAGAGTTTTTGTACAACATGAAGCACACAGCCGGCCGGTCAGTATAATGTTCTTGAATGTTGTATAGAAGAGAAAGCCAGCCTCCTTATAATCCGAACCAACAATAGATGACTTGCCTTTCGTACTTGTCTTGCCAGTTATCAGGTATGTTGATGCCAGGCTGAGGACACGAAGGGCAAAACCAAGCCAGATCACCCTTGCCAGGTTTCTCCCTAGTGTCATGGCCAAATCCGAAGCATTTTCGGCTCATCAAGTCTCTCCATAGACAAGACACCCTCATGAGTTCTCGATATCGATTCTAGCCAGCAAAGACATTTGATATGGTCAGTCCAACTGTTGAAAAGAATAACTATATGCTCTCACAGGAACAGTACCAGGGAATGAGTGATTGGTCATTCGTCGAATTTTCTCAAAGAAGCTTGATGCTGAAGTCTTGCACTCCAGTGCATCAATTAGAAAATGATCTAAGACTTCAAAAGTGAAGGCAGTTCGGGGTCGAGTGACGCTTGCAGGAAATAACCTGGCCTTCAGCAACTGCAGATGCTGCTGATGCTTAGACCCAGGACAACCACACCAAACAACATTGTGCAAAAACACTCCAGTTGAATGTATGATGGTCAGGGTGGATGTCGTAGTTGAACTGGAAAAGGTCTCCATTGGCACAGACCCAGCCTCTGCATCCAATGGCATATCCTCCCATGCCTGTGGGTCTTCAGAAAATGGACATGGTTGCCCCCCATGGCCCATATACCAGACAATACCCAATTCTTCGAGCGACTTGTCTTCAAAGCATTTTCCAGTCCACTGTTGAACCTTGTGAAAGGGCAAATGTTGGTGGGTTTTGACAATGCAAGGATGACAAAATGTCTGATCCCCACTGCATGTCAAACAATGGAATTTCCCTTCACCAATCTGACAAGACTGGCACTCCAAGACATCAGAGGGCTTCTCCAAGTCAAGGAGGATATCGAGATATGAGTCTCGGAAAGGCAGATATTCTTGGATAAAGTCGTTCTGAGTCTAGTTCATTTGATCTCGATTGAGTATAGAATTAAATTGCTATGCATCAATCTGGTCACCTTTGTTTTTCTTGATTGGTTCTCTGTATATGAATTAAAGTCACCGAGGACTTCTCCATCAAATTCCTCCTGAATGCTTGGCAACCCTTGAGTTTCCTCTCTGACCCGTTTACGAGGGCTAGAGGAAGGAGATGGTGTTGGGGCAGTGTCATAGAAGGCATCAGCACATGATTCCACCCAGGTCATCTTCCTTTTCTTTCCAAGGACTTGTTTGTGAGACACGTAATCGACATCTAGGTCCTTGCCTTTGGATAATCGACCTCTTCCTTTGAAGGAAAATGTAGCTGCCTTGAGGCGAGTTTTTTTTTGAGGAGACATACTGTTACTAAGGCAAAAGAGGATGTCCTTAATATTTTGGTTGTAGTTGACACAATCATTGATAGAAATGGCTAAACTACTACCTCATTTAGATCTAGTATGTATGCTCAAACACCTGACTTATCCCTTCACCCCCCTCTGACATTTCGTACTTCACTCTCTTTTGGTTTGCCTTCCCACCATCTGCAAAAAAAAGTCCTGTGTTGGAAATGCTGGTCTTGGCACCCCCACTCTAGAATGAACTTTATCTTTCATGAAATGGGCAATGACAATCCTTTCTCCTTTAATCCATGGACTGATAGAATGCTCCAGAACCTTGCCTGAAATGAAGACCATGGTCCCAGGGTGATAATCCAGCTCCGCTCCGATATCTCGTAATGTCAACTTGGCCTCATGACCACTACCCAAACTCACTAAAAGATCAAAGAGTGAAGGTGCCCCACCAGGGTCTCTATGAGAAAATGTGACACGGTTGGCAATTACTTCCAATCCAGAGAAGATTGAGGGCCATTGAGACACAGGCACTGCATCTGGTTTACTCGCCCTCCTGACTTGCTGTACAACTTCCGAAATAGCAGTGGAACCTGCTTCAAACAGACCAGGAGCCGAGGCAGCGGTAATTGCGTTCCAAAAATATTCAGTAGTCGATAAGGCGGCGAGCCACTCTTGGACTTCTGCAGATGAGTATGAAGCAGATGTGACCAGTGGGTCTTGAATTCTCTGCAAAAATGAGCAAGAACTGGCTAGATGTTATTGATTAGACAAATACCTCATGTCTTTGCATAAAATATGCCGGAGATACTGTAACTCTTCCAGCTCCGAAAATTCCCCCTCCCTCAGGCACAACAAAGCCTTGAGATCGCCAAGATTGTTTTGAGGCCGATGAAGTCGGAACAGTTCTAAGAAGCATATTTCGCAAACCCTTAGTGGCTGTGTTCACATAGTCCTACAAAATGAAATAATGTTACGAGAGGGAATCCCCATCAAATAACAAACTTACAACTCGAGATCTTGACAAGATACCAGGCAAGTACACCATCATTATTTTACCATGTTTGTCCACAATGGTTGCTGGTGCAGACATTTTGCCTATTGCTGCTGGGGGGAAGTATTTCTGTAATCGTTCTATTTCTGGGGAGGGTGAACCGTCTGCCTTGGGTGGAGAGCACTTTGCCATTTCGGCATATCTCTCAACATCCCAGTCTACATGATCTGCCACTTAGATCAAAACCTGGTAATACAGTTATTAATAAGTAACTCACAAGGGTTTTACATTGCATAAGCAATTTTGAGTGCTGCTCGAGTTATTTCATATTCAGATATTGAGGAAGGACACTTTGATGGGCATCAGCTGTTGCCAAGCAACTGTTTAGTTGCACTCCAATTCTCAACCTGAACAGGTTAGCAAGTCAAAACATAATGTTAAATGATGAACTGTCATACCTTGCCTTGTGTAGAAGGTGAGATTGTACTTTCCCCTCCTTGAAAACACTTGTGTTTGCAGAATCCCTCATAATTTGAGTGATCTGACCAGTCAGTGCAGCCCTTAGCTTTGTGTTTCACTTCTTGAGTTGTCCATGTGAGGGAGGGAGAAAATATGAACCGACTGAAACAAAGCAAAAATAGCCGTCTGAATTCCCACACTGTCAATTTGTCCCAATTTAGGTACATTGTAGATGATTATGAAATGATGGAAGCAACTGATAGAAAACAGTAGTGGCTAATTTGACTAAAATGGTATACATATATGAAATCAACAGTTCCACGAATTCGGAACTCTAATAGATTACATCACACATAAGGCCGGTCAGCTCGGTTCCAAGTGACAAGTGCCTTGTTACCCTTGAATTTTGAATAAGGAACGCGCTCTAAGTATTCTATGATTTTCAAAGTTGAACATGTGGAATGATGAGCGGCTAATAAGAACTCACTAATGGTGTGGGATGATACTTCGTGCGGTGGAGGGCATATGCGATGAAATGTGGGAGCTTCACTTGAGAGTTAGAAGACAATGGGGGGGAGGTAATTTGGGACAAGCAAACAGATGGGTTATGAACCTTGTGCACAACCACGAAGGCTGCTCATGACCATGAAATGGGTCAGAGTGTCTCGTGGAAGGTTGAGTTGGTTGGGTTTGGGTGGCGCTTATGCGAAGTTGAACGTGTGGAATGATGAGCAGCTAATAAGAACTTTCTGAAAGGGGGGGGGGGAGGGGGGGGGGGAGGTACAAGTGGACCATGCACAGCAGCCATGATGGGGTGATGAGTTGACTCACCAACAGTGTAGGATGATAACAATACGTGAATGAGGAACGCTCTGGGCATTCTGAAAGGGGATGGGGGGTAGGTACAAGTGGACCATGCACAGCAGCAGTGATAGGGTGATGAGTGGGCTCACCAACTGTGCAGGATCATAACCCATACGTGAATGAGGAATGCTCTGAGCATTCTGAAAGGGGGATAGGTACAAGTGGACCATGCACAGCAGCTGTGATAGGGTGATGAGTGGACCCACCAACAGTGTAGGATGATAACAATACACGAATGAGGTGCTCCGGGCATTCTGAAAGGGGGGTGGGTGGGTAGGTGCAAGTGGACCATGCACAGCAGCCATGATGGGTGATGAGTGGAACGGGCAGTGTGGTGTTGTGAAGGGAAAAGTGATCTGAAAAGTCAAAGTCAAAGTCAACATTGGGGTTTAGTTAGAACGGGACTGGAAGTAACATCGAGTCTCAAATGTTACTGATCGGCACTTTCAGCACACCAAATGGCGGCACTTGACAAGGCAGAGTTGTCAAGCTTACCTTCTTGGAGTAGTAGTAAGTAATAGTGAAGGCGGCAGGTACTGCTAGTGAAATTATGCGTTGCATGCAAAACAAAGTGTTTCGATGGTGTTTCACATTGGTTACTTTTATTTGTGTGCTTCAAGTTGAATCAACCAAGC